AACGGAGCGAGGTGCTGATTCCGAGGGAACACCTCGCGTAAGCGATAGCGGCGCCAGCAGCAGCGGCGGCGGCGGCGCCGCAGCGGCGGCCGGTGCGATCAACCCCGATGACTTTCCAATCGGAATGTACGACGAGGGGAACGACGAGATAAGCATGCCGGCTGCCATTCATGGCGGTACGGCGACGGGGCCACCCAACGGCGACGGCGCCGTCACCACAAGCGCCGGCACCGACATCGTCAGCACCGCCAGCACTTGGGGTGGCAGTACAATATCCGGCCTCCTTCGGGATGAAACCGGCAATAGCTGGCCGGCCGACAACACAACGTCGCCGCCGGCCCCACTTGGCAGCGGCGTCAGCAGTGTACGGGACTTTCTGCGCCATCCCAGCTTCGGCGCCGCCAGCAGCGTCAGCGGCCGTAGCGGCTACGCCACGCCTCAGGGGCCCGGCGGCGGCGGCGGCGGCGGCGGCAGCGGCAGCGGCAGTGGCCGTAGTCGCCGTGGCAGTAGTGGCGTGCAGCGAGCGGTTCCCAGCAGCCCGGCTCGACAGCAACTGCTGCATCTGGACAGCCTGCTTCACGGTGAGTTGTTTGAACTCGGAATGGAATAAGGATAACCATTGGGTTGGGCGTCAAGGAGTTGGATTGGGGGAACCTTCGTTATGTCTTGCCGTACGGACTTGACGGGTCCATTGCCGGCGGGTGTGGGGCTGAGGCGGTGGCTGCGGTCGGCGGCTGTCAGCAAACAAACGGGGTATCCGGTATTTCCCCCTCGGGCATCATCTAGCTAAGGCTGATACAGGCAGTCGACCGGGACCCGCTTTTGGGTCTCCTCCCTTCCCCTTCGCCCTTCTGGAGGAGTTTGGAAAGCTCCTTTCCAGAGATTAACGCCGCAGTCATGATGCTGCCTGCAATTTCACTAGGTTGTTTGTCTTCTTGGCGCAAATCGCTCTTCCCCACCTGAAGATCCAGTTGTCCACTGCGCTGTAAATTATCCCCTCTATCGCACGGAACCCACACACCCACACACACCCACACACACCCACACACACCCACACCCACACACCCACACCCACACCCACACCCACCCACACACACACACACACATCCCACCGCCGCTGTGAAACACCTCCTCAGGTGGCGTGAGTGAGCACACGGTGGACCCCACCCCGCCCGTGATGCCCATGGGGGTCCCGGCTGAGCTGATGGCGGCTCACGACCGGGCGGCTGCTGAGGTGGCGACTGCAGCCAGTTTGGTGGCACTGGGGGAGCCGGTGGCGGAGGCGGTGGAGCAGGTGCGATGTGCGCGGGTGTGGGACTGCATGCGGTGTGGAGTAAGGCAGATGTTCAGGAACGAGGTTCAGGAGGGAGCAAGGAAAGGATATGGCCAACGGAGTTTAGGCAGCAAGAAGTGCTGCTGCTACTGTTGAGGTTGTTACTGTTCGTGTGACTGTTGTTCCGCTGGGCCGCCTGCAGTCGGCACTCCTCGCCCTCCCCTCCCCCCCCCCACCCTAATGGTGGGTCGGACGAGTTTGCCTCCCGCTACAGACTGGTTCGCAGGCAACACACAGGAGGTGTCCGTCTTCTTGTGCGTTTTGGTGGCAAGAGAGAGCCGCTACACCTGAAGGGCTCGTAAGATACCAGTCCCACATCGTGACCGTTCACCCACCTCCGCCATCGCCACCTGCAGGGGTTTTACCAGCTGCCCTTAGTGTCCGCCATTAACCTGCAAATCGCTGTATGTATGTCCGCCAGGTTGAGGCGATGGCAGCCCGTGTGGAGTCCCAGCAGGGGGTGGAGCCGGAGACCGTCATGCCGGCGCTGCTGACACCGGCGGTAGCTGCGGCCGTAGCGGCAGGCAGCGATGTCTCCGTCGTGAGGCCGCCCAGCCTGGGCCCTGGCGGCCCAGCCGAGGCGCACATCGCGACGGAGCTAGCGGCGGTGGCGGCGGCGGCGGCGGTGGCGCGGCCGTTGCCAACGCCGGAGGTGGCGGCGCCGTCGGCGATGGAGATTGCGGTGGAGAGCGCGCTGCTGGCGGAGGCGCGGGACCTGGGGGCGGAAGCGATGCTGGCGGCGCCGGAGGCGGCGGAGGCGTCGTTGCAGCTTGTTCGGCAGTCTCAGGCGTCCGCAGTGGCCGACTCGGGGGCTCCCTTCCACACGGCCTTTGCCATGGCCGCCCTGTCTGGGGCGCCTCCGCCGTCGCCCGCCCTCCCTGCGTCACCGCACCCCTCCGCCAGAGCCCGTCGGCTAAGTCACACGCTGCTGGGTAAGAGTCTGGGCAGCCAGCTGCCGACGCTGGCGGAGGGCCTGGAGTTGACGCCGGAGGCGACGGAGCAGGGTGGAGGCGGTGGCCGCCGCCGCCGCCGCAGCGGTAGTGACGTCAGTGGCGATGTGTCAGTTCCGCTGCCGCCACCGCTACTGAATGAGGCGGCAGTGGTGGTTAGCAAGGTCGCAAACCTCGGTTCGGTATGGTGTGAAGTGGGGCGGCGGGCGGCAGAGGCGGCAGCGCTCGTGGCGCTTGGGGAACCAGTGGAGGCGGCGATAGGTGTCGTGGAGGAGAGCGGTACCGGCGGCGGCGGTGGTCAGGGGCCGGGGGCCGAGCAGGTAGCACAGGATGAAGAGAGGTGATTGCAGGAGGGGGGTTAAGACTCTGTGGGCGAAGGTAGGCATGTGACGTGTGACGATTTGAAGCGAGGGAGTAGAGGAGGGCGGTTGATTGCTGGTTTTAGCGATGATGCGTCAGATGGAGGCTGCTTGAGCAAGGGTTGGGCGTAGGTGGGGTCTGGAGGGGATGGCAAGCAGTTGCGCAGCGCACTTCTCTGCTCCGTGTTTTTGTGGTATGTATTGAGCTGTATTGGCGGCCATTGTAGCACTTCCGAGTTTGGTTGGATTGGAGTTTTCCGGGTGAATTTGTGTAGGCGGAGTCGGAGGATCGAGAGGAGGAGAGTCCGCCTCCCGACTGTGCGAGAAAACTTTCCGAAAACATTGTTCTGCACTCTGCCAGCGGAGCTATCTTCTCTTTCCTATCTCAATATGTGCAGCTCGCTTTCTGGTGCCTTGGGGTAAGGTATTAGCAGTTCAATTTGATAAGCGAGGCTGGTAAAGCAGATAGACCGTCGAAACTTCGATCCCCAGTTGCGCAGCGTGCCGTTGCTCCCTGAAAGCCAAGCATAGCGTTGTTCGGCCATGGATGGTTTCGGAGATCCCAAGAACGGGTTCCATTTTAGAGAGAACTATGGAGAAGATTGTGCGTGTGTGGTGTCCTTTTTTGCTGAATTGCCGGTGTTGGCCCGAGGTCGACCCGCGCCCTACTTTGGTCTTGTTTTCATTTCTTCGTCTTGGCAGCCTGCCGGTTGGTGCCATCGTGTGCCACCCACCTACCCGGGCTTGCTGCTGTGGGACTTTTGCCGACAGTCGCAAATTGAGAAGAGTATTTAGGCACCGCCAATAAAGCAGGTTCTTGCGAAGCGGTCAATAGGGAGAGATGCGCCGCTCCCACACTATCTGGCCAGTACGAAGTAACGTTGCAATGATGTTGCTGCGGCGACGAGTCCTATCGTATGGACAGGCGACACCAGGCGACGTACTGTTGCCTCGCGGCCACCGTTGATGTGTCAGTACATTGGGTCTGGCTGGTGGCTTGTTTTCCAAGTCTTTGTTGTGGCCCATGTTCGGACCCTCGCATTTGGCGCCCCGCTCGGCGCTGCACGAGAGAGTTGGTGGTAGAAGAGTTGACTCGTTTAATCCACTGTCAGGGTGCGCGTGAATGAAGGAATGCGCGCGTGCATGGCAGAACCATGCTGCGCTAATTGCTTAATACCTAAATTGATGGTTATGTTGCAAGGTTTTGCCTGCTGAAGAACGTTGCCAATGGCTGAGTGCTATGGCGACATGTTTCCGCGCGGTGGGGTTTCCGCGCGGTGGGGTAGTAGTGGATTTGGTATCGAAGCGTGGTACAATGCACATGCGTGTGCACACACATAGCTAGACTGCACCGTCTCGTTGCACACATAAATACGGTGCATTGCAGACACATGCATTCATGTAAAATGCTCAAATCATCTTCACGAACCTTGAAGGAAAAGAATTATATGTACCACCGTCCTCAGGTCCTGTCCAGTTGTTATGTGGCATGGCCGCTCTGGGGGCCGCCAATTGGAGAATTGTCTCGGTGAACTGTCCCAGGCACCCTAAACCGAGCCACGGCCTTGCGAGCGGAAAACAACGAACTTGCCAGACTACCGGCCGTGGCTGTATATACCTCCCCGTTGCAGTACCGCTTTCGCCGAACTTTGCTCCATCACTTAATATCAGCGACCTTGCCAAGAAGTTACCAAGCCATTCCCGTATAGAGCAAGCGGTACAGCAGCGGGTACAGCAACGGGCTACAATACTGGAATCCGTTCGCACACCTCCAGCAACATGCAAACACCGCAACGCAACTCAGCAAACCTGTAAATATCAATATGATATTTATGCACTCCACAATTACACTTGCCGCAGGGAGCGCGGCCACCACGGGAGCACCCACGAGCACACCGTAACTGAGTGTGTGCTTCCACGACTTGCCTGACGCAACTGGGAACAGCCACAATGGCCCTGGGAACACATCCCAATACAACATCCCACAGGCTGGCGGCCCACCGCTTGGCGGTCCACTGCATGGGGGCCCACTGCTTTGCATGCAGCATCCCACTGCTTGGCGGCCTGGCGCAGTGGATAACGCATCAGACATCAGATCTGAGGGTTGCGGATTCGAGTCCCATCGCCTTCATTTTTTTGGATGACGAGTCGCAAGCGTAATAATATGAGATTGCGATGCGTAGTAATATACCTTAACGTAGTAAGATAAACTTGGATGTATGTAATACAGTCATTCGCAGGCATATACAACCACAAGCTGTCACTGCTTGGCGGCCCACTACTTGGCGGCCCGCTGCCTCCCTGCCTGCCTACCCGCCCGTTTCCCCTCCCCCCCCTTCAGGGACAGGACCGCCCACCTCAGTCCCGCAGCGCCTCCGGGGTGACCAGCGTGTGCTGCGTGGCGGGGTCCTTGGTGACGCGCCACAACGTGTCCACGTGCTCTCGGGTGCCGATTAGCTGCGCGAAGTTCTCGTCGTGTGTAATGACAATAAGTTGGAAGTTCTCCTGACCGGACCGTGACTCCATCAGGGACTTCAGCGCGCGAGCTAAACTGGCGCTGTTCTCTGTCGTTGCAGAAAAAAGGGTTTGGGCAAGGAAAGGGTCAAAGGAAAGTGAGGAACAAGACCAGGGAGCGTCACGACAGGCCTTTACTGTGTTCGTAAACCCGGACCCCTCCACCTAACATCGCCCACGTCCGCAACACCAGCCCGTGCCCCCTTCCTTTCCTCGCCTTAAATTACTTGCATCCATTACTGGTTCTCTGCCTTTTTCCTCGCCTTTCACCATTCCGCAGCAACTCATATCTAAACCCTTCCTCTGGGGTCCCCACACACGCCCTCAGGCAGTGTGTCGACTTCCCAGCCCCCTCTCCCCACACCGCACCCGCGTCCAGGTTGGTGGTGGGCTCATCCAGCGCCAGGATGCCACAGTTGAGGCAGAACGTCTCCGCCAGCGCCAGTCGGATGATGAGGCAGGCCAGCACCTTCTGACCCGCACTGCACCGACCCCGCATCTCCAGCTCGGCGGAGCCGCTGTACATCACCACTCTAGGGTGTGCGGGTTCAGGATTAGGGAGTAATACAGCAGGTGGGCTGGAGTCGTTCAAATAAATGGACAGCGGATTCAAAAATACAAAGGGAAACTGTGTGCGTGCCCATAGCGATTGTTTTCTGGGGGCCCGAAGGAAAGGAATGTTGTTCTTGCTGTTAAACGGGAACAACACTGGCGATAAATGGTATGGAGGAGCTCTCCTCGGGCAGGACCGTACATACGCCGGGCGCCTTCTTCCCTGCAATCTGCGCCTTCCCGCACGGATTTTTGCATACACACAAGAAGAGGCCTAAAAGCGGAGTGTACGACTGTAGGACCCGATACGACGCCGTGCGGCATTTGCATTACCTGTAGTTGTAGGACCTCGCCCCAGCGCCCTCCGTGTCGGCCTTGATCTGTATGTAGTCGATGTCCTGGCCGCGGTAGGTCTTCTGCCACAGCTCCTTGATGATTTTGTTGATGTCGGCCATCTTGGTGGTGTGGAACACGAGCAGCGCCTTCTCCAGGGCCTTGGGGTGTGTGACCCGAGGCCAGGGTGGTCAAGGAGGGTGATGGAGAAATGTGGTGTGGATGGACCAATTGATTGGCGAAGGGCGATGATGGGGCAGGACGTGTCTTTTTACTGCTGTGTTTCAGGTCCAGAGGCTATTGGATTGAGGTGACCTCCTCCTGCGCGCGTGTTGCGGTGGTGGCCTCCGCCACGCGCCCCTCGATGTTTCCAACACAACGGAGTAGTCATGGTGCCGAACAGGTGCCGGACCGCCAGCCTCCTATTACAAAGATCCCCAGGCCACACACCATACCCTGGCCCCCATCAACCCACCTTGTAGTACTTATCAAGGTCCGACATGGCCATCTCGGTGGTCTTGACGGTCACCTGTTGAGAATAGAAGCGCTGCTGGATGTCCCGGTACCTGCGGGGCACATGGAGCAGAGGGGCAGGGACACAGGGAGACGGGTACAGCGGTCTAGGAAGTGAAAGCACCCATGTAGACATAGACTGGCAGACGCGCAGGAGGACAGACTGATAAGACTGATAAGACTGATAGACGGAGGAAAATGCCAACCAGGCAGATGGGGAGCAATGTCGTGACCCACTTTGGGTCGTTCAGCTCCGCCTGCGCCCGGGCAGCCGCCTGCTGCGCAGCGGCGATGTGGCCCCGCAGTACGTCCTGTTGCGACCTCAGCGCATCACGCTGCTCAGCCAGGGAGGTGGCCTGGCGGTGAAGGGAGCCCGGGTCGCCAACCTGGCAGGTGGTGGACAGGGTTGGGCCGCGTGCGGGGTTCGAGGGGGGGGAGGGGTCGAAACGGGTTTGGGAAGATAGCCTGCAATTGGGTGCGGCGGTGTGAAATGAAAGGCCTGCCGCCAGATCGCGTCCAAAGCGGGGTGTAAAGATACCACGAGGGAATGGGTGCTAAAACACCCATGAAATGTTCACCATGCGCCAGGTTCTACGCAGCCCGCCTATGCGCAACGCTTACTCCTCCCATGCACACATGCGCGTAAGCAGACGCACGTAAACATGAACATACAGTACATATACGCATATACGCACACACACACACCCCTGCCCGTGGCTCAGGTCAGATTCCAAACACACCTGTGCTACGCGGGCCTCCATGGCCGCCAACTCAGTCGCGAGATCCTCCTCAGCCTTCCGACTCGACCGCATGTCCAACACGTCCACCACGTCCCGCCGGAGGGCTGCATCCGCAACCAGCTCCTGGCGCCTGCAGGAGCGTAGACCGGGGGGAAGCGAGGGAAGGCCGGGCAGCGGGGCCGAAGTCGAGGGAGAGGGACATGAGGAATACAGTGAAAACCCCAATCCGCATGAGTTGCGTTGGCCTGGATTGAATTGACAGTTTCAATGGCACAGTTTAACTAGCTAAGCGGCGGCTCGCAGGTCACATGGCAATTAGGGTTACGTGGCGGACGGCAGTACGCGCCAGCAGCTGCAGCCGCATCTCCCAACTTCCCTCCTGCCCTTCACCCTACCAGATCACCGGCACCAAATTACTCCCCTACCCAACCCACCTTCCGGCATCCTTGCATCCATTTGGGGTCGAGTATTACGCCCTCAACACACACACACACACACACACAGTTCACCCAGCTTTGCGCCAACCCCTACCCGCAGCCCCAACCCCTTACAGCGCCGTGAGCTCCTCCTCCTTGGCTGCTAGCACCCGGCCCTGCTCCTCGATACGACCCTGAGCTGCCTCCAGCTCCGAACCCATGCGAGCCAGCTCGGCACCCCTGCCTCGGGCTTCGTACTCCGAGACCACCCGGGCCTTATCCAGCAGCTGGGACAGGTGCAACTGAGCGCCGCGGAGCTGGCGCAAGCAAATTAATCAAGCAGAAGCAGGACGGGGACAGCAAGAATGATATGAGTCATATGCTGGATTAGGATGCACTAGTTGTAGCTGCTGGGCGGCCTGCCCGCCTGTAAGAGGCGGGGAGAGACAAGAGCGCCGGGTGGTGCAGAATAACATTCCAACAGCCAGCCCACCATCACCTCTCCCTGGACGTCTCGTTCTGCTCGCTTTTCTGAGCTCGGATCCCTTCCGGCCCCAGGCCCATCCCTCGTGCCCGCACCTGCTCCTCCGCCTCCGTCACCTCCCGCTGCGCCCGCTGCCTGGCCTCGTCCCGCTGACGCAACAGGCTGTCCCGCTCCGTCTCCAGGGGGCCCAGGTTGCCGGCGGCCGCCCGCAGCTCCTGCTCCAGAACCGTATTGGCGGCCTCCAGCTCTTGAATCTGATAACACAGGGGTAGGCGAAAACAGCAGCAGCAGCAGCAGCGATATCGAGATGTGCTTTCTCAACGGGGTCTGCAGTGGCAACCACCAGTCGGTGCTGGTCTCTGTCTTGCCTCAACGGTTGCGCAGTGTACGGGGCAGGAACACTCGCCCCACGCCTTCCTTTTCCACTGCCTTTCTCGCACTCACAAATACATGCGCGATGTCAAAAATACACACGTGCTCCGCGTATATAGTTCGGCAAGCGCGGCAGGTGAGGAGCTTCTTCCAGCACACACACACATACACACACGCGCGCGCGCACACATATCTACACGAACGCGCAGGAGTGCACTCACCTTGCTCTGCAACTCATTGACCCGGTTGACCGCCGCCGCCGCCTCCAGCGCACGCTGCTGGGCCGTCATGGTGCACCGCTGGGCCGTCAGCACCTCATCACGATACCGGTTCACACGCGCCATCGCCCCATCGCGCGCCAGCTCCGCGCGCTGCCGGGCCGCCTCCACCGCCTCCAGCTCGGTGTCGATCTCGCTCACGCTGCAGCCGGCTGGGGCAGTCGCAGCCGCCGGGTCCAGGACAGCAATCTGGAGATGCAGAGGAGGTTGTCCCAGGAGGTTGGTTGGCGACCAGAGAGGAAGGAGTGGTCGGGACTACGGTGTGTTTGGAACTTGGGGTTATCGTAACACGCACATCGGTAACTAGGCCATGCAGGGGACACGTAACTAGGGCATGTTGAATTCGTATTGGTACCTTAGGCTGGTGCAAACTCAACCTCGCACAGCACCTCCCAGCCGAGCCCTCCTCCGACCACACTCAGCTCCCCTCCACGGATTCCGCACGCACCTCCTTCCTCAGCACCTCAGCCTCCCCCGCCAGCCTGTCTACATGCCACACCACCTCGCTGTTGATGCGAGTCAGCTCCTTCACCCGCTCATGTACCTCCGCGTAGTCCATCTGGGCCGCCATGGCCTTTTCAGGGTGCGAAAGGGAGCGGGGTCGTGGTTGCGGTTAGGGTGGTCAGGGTGGTGGCGGGATAATGAAGGGGGCCTTGCAAGGTAAGCAAAGGGGGAAGGCGCCGGAGGCTAGTGTGCGATAGTCCCTTCAGACCACAGTCCCGACAAGGTGTAGAGGTATTCCGATACTGGATCCACCTGATCCGGTCCCAATTGTTTCCCGTGTTGAAGCCGGCGCTGCAGTCCCCGTGCATACTGAAATCCTGCCCAAGGTGTCGTGGGTCCGAGGACCAAGGAGCAGAGAAGTGCGTGGTGATGAGAGGTGCGAGGACTACGCCAGGAAGGTTGGGCTGTAAATAATTTGTTGAATATCAAACGAGTTGCGCGCGTGCGCAACACCAACAACCACCCTCACACTCCTGCCAATTTATCCTTATCTCCCACTTCCGCCCCCCTTGTCCTTGCCAGCTTCCTATGTACTCACAACCCCTGATACCACTTCGCCTGCCGCCTTCGTACCTTCTCCGAGAGCTCCTCCACCTGCTCTTGCAGCTGCTGCTCCGCCTGCTGCAGCTGCGGCAGCTTAGCGCGCAGGTCATTGTAACGTACCCAGGCGGGCTGGAGCGCCCGCAGTGCCTCTAGCTGCCGCTGCAGCTGCTGCAGGGCGAATTGACAATCTTCGATGCTCTTGGGCAGGATCTGGGGACACAGAAGCAGATTTGGACAGCGCAGCACGAGGACGACGTGACGGCGCAAATAGACAAGAAGAGGGAGAGGGATGGAGATTACCAGCCGGATGGATAAATCTATCGCTAAATGACGGATGGATAAGGCGCACACATGAGTCGCGTCAGGGCAAGTGCTACCTCCTGGCCTCCGTGACACATGCGAATATCTGCCAGCCCGCTCACCCACCCACGCCGCAACCCACCTTCATCTCCTCGTCGATATGCCGTAGACACACCCGGCGCTCCGGTTCGGAAAAGCCCCGGCAGCACAGCGGGCAGTCCCCCCCATTGTTCACCGTCTCCCGGTACTCCTTGAACAACGTCTCCATGGCGCTGCACTTGCCCAGCCGGTTGCGCCGCCTGTCCTCAACCTGCAGGAGGCAAAATCATGCAGGCAGGAGGGGAAGGGGGCGTAGGGAAAAGGGTGCGCGGTGGTGATTGAGTGACTTCGTGTGTGTCTAAGTGTGTGATTGTCAAGACCACTAAGTACCACACGGGGACTGAGAGCCCCAGGCAAGGCAACGAATGGATGTAGAGGGAATGTTTCCAAGGGAGGGATAAAGAGAGTTGGAGTGGGGGTTAGAGAGAGAGAGGGGAGTGGGGGATAGAGAGAGAGAGAGGGAGTGGGGGATAGAGAGAGAGAGGGAGTGGGGGATAGAGAGAGAGGGAGTGGGGGATAGAGAGAGAGAGAGGGAGTGGGGGATAGAGAGAGAGAGGGGGAGTGGGGGATAGAGAGAGAGAGGGGGAGTGGGGGATAGAGAGAGAGAGAGGGAGTGGGGGATAGAGAGAGAGAGGAAATCCCTGTGTTCCGTGTATGTGTGATCTTTGGGCATTTCCTCATCCAGCCGACCAGCCGCAGTCAGCCAGTCCGAGACTACCTGTTGCATCGTCACAATCTTGTTGTTGTACTCCTCCTCGCTGACCCCGACTTCCCCCACGGCGGCGGCCATCCCGTGCCGCAGCTCCCCCCGCAGCCGCTCCATGTCCGCCTGGCAGCGGGACACCTCGCCGCGCCGGGCTGTCAGGGCGCTCTGGGAAGGGAGGGAAAAAAAGGGAGTGAGGTATATGTGTCTGTGTGTGTGTGTCTCTACATGTCTGGGCGCCCCCTAGAAGTAGGTAAATGGCAAGCGTCACTATCACTATGCAACCGTGCAAGACGTTGCAAACACACACCACACGTATACGCACAGAGGCCTCGTGAGAGATTTCATGCACACCTCAACCACACGCACACACACATACATACACATACATACACATACATACACATACATACACATACATACACATACATATACATACATACACCAAAAGCATCATACCTTGGTCAGACACAATTCTTAAAAGCACGCACACACACACACACACCAAGCGCACGCGCACATACATGCACACACAATTTACTTCCACGTCGCTGGACAAGGTGCTTGCTTCGGTATCGCTACCCACGTGCCAACCTCGCTGGTTCCTGACCGCATGTCAGGTCATGAAAACACGCACCTTGGCAGTCTCCGCCGCCCGGTGTGCCTCTTGTGAGGCCCTTAGGTGGTCCGCCTCCTCCCCCCGCAGCCGACCGAGAACTCCCTCAGCACGAGCCCGCAACGCCCCAGGCGCAGGAAGCGCCTCCCCGGCTGGCAGCGCCAGGGCCTTCGTCAGATCCAGGCGCCGGGCGGCAACCACCTTGGACAACTGCGCGTTGGAAAAAGGGCGGGGTGAGTGATCACGAGGTTGACTGGATCGGAACAATTTATCGACATGTATCGGACGAACCCCCCCCCTCCAGATGTCCAGTGGCTGGTAGCTCCAAGGTAAAGGAGCTGCAGCAGCAGCAGCAGCTGGAGGACATCGAAGCCTTGTGAACCTTGGTAAATGGACATGTAAGGTCAGTGAATGGTTAAGGTTGGGTGGATGGAAAGGGGACAACTTTGCAGCGAAAAAGCATCCCCCAGCTCCCTCTTAGAGAATCCTGTATTCCAGCAATTAAACTGCAATTAAACTGCATCAGCAATTAAACTGCAAAAAATCATCGCCAAGTACTACTATTGAGATCTTAATTCCTGATTTCTTAATCCCAGGTGGCGGTGCTCCTCCCTCCCAACTCCCACCCGCTGGCCATGTGATGTCATTAGATTCTTTCTACAGTTGAAGTGGTGTACGTTCTGTTTCCTTACCCCCCCACACACACACTAACACACCTGCTCCTCCTTGGACTCTAGGTCGGTGCGCTTGAGACGCAGCCTGGCGGAGCCCTCCGCTGCCGCCGCCGCGCGCTGTCGCTCCGCCCGCAGCTCCGACATGCGGCGAGTGGCGGCCTCCACCTCCTGGCGGGCCGCCTCCACCTGGCGAGCTGCATCGCTGGAGGACTCCTCCATCTGGTGCGATAGGGACGGGAGAAGTAGAGGAAGGGGGTGGGAGGGTTGCGAAGGAGACGGGGATGGGCAAGATGGCGGAGCGGAACGAGGGGGCCAACGGGGCCCGGAGCATATGGGATGGCATGCATGCATATGGGTGTCTTATTACATTGTATGTGGGTCGCCGTTGTGAGTGGAAGAGCGTGCGTGGGTTCGTGCATATAAAGGATAACTAACAAGGGATAACAAGGATATGGGGCTTGTGGAGTGACGAGGCGCAGGGACAACGTAAAGGGAAATGCGGGCCAAGGGGGGGAAAGACGAACGGATCTAGGGGGAAGGGAGGAGGAGGAGGAGGAGAAGCAATGTGAGCCGGGACTGCGCAAGAAGCAGGAGGCGGGAATGGAGCTAGAGTTTTCATGAGAACCAAACAGGCTGGCACACAAATACCTTACCGCAGCCCTGGCCACGCACCTGCTTCCGGCGATACAGCTCCTCGGCCCGCTCCGCGTCCTCCCGGAGCGCCCGGGCGCTGACCTCCGTGAACTGGCTGCCTTGAATCTGCGGGGATGGATGGGTGGGTGGAGCAGTGGGGGCAGGGTGAGTGGATTGGGGGTTAGTTGAGAAACAGAACACAACATAACACCGAAGGAGCAGATGTGGGCGGGATGTATGGTATACACCTACATATGTACAAAAGGAAAAACGTGAGTGGCTAACCAAAGGCCATTTTCCCGACTGCGACGTGTAATTGCCAGGACGGCTGACGAGTTGTCTCGTCGGAGCCGCAACATGGTCAATACCGATACTGCCTTGTTGAGCCTGCAACGGTGACGAAGCCGACAACCCTAGCCGCCTCCCTAGCCAGGCCGTTCGCACTCCATTGGTTGCCGGATGTCGCTTGCTTTCCCAAACTCATCCCCAACCCCTACCCATTGGCCATCCCCGACCAAGGCACATATACGAAAGCACATGCATCGCCGCATACACATATGGACTAACACGCCGTTAGTCCATATTCCCATGACCCCACACCTGCGCGCCGCAGTTGCTGATGGCGTTGCGGTTGTCCTCCAGCTGCACCCGCTTCAGCCGCAGGCCCTCCTGCGCCCGAGCCAGCTGCGCCGTGGCGGCATCCACTGCAGAGCTCAGCCGGCCCTCGTTGGTCCTGAGGGTATGCGGGTAGACGGTTACAAAAGCCAACAAGCACATGTCGAAGTGGGCGTACGAGAGGGCTAGGTGGCAAGGAGGCACTGCAGGCGAAAAACAAGTGGTGGTAATAATGGTGGTTATGACGGCGGTGGCGGCGAGTTAAGGCCGCCACGCGCCCTCCCTCTCCCAGAGTGTGACTAGGGCGCTGGACAGCGTCACGGGGGCCCTCCACACTCCGTTTGCACCCCCTCCACACCCACCTGGCGTCCGCCCTCAGCGCCCGCACTCGACCCTCCAGCTCCTGCACCCTGGTCGCCACCTCCCTGCAAAAGCCCTCCGCGGCGGCAGAGGAAAAGCTTCCGTCCGCCGTCTGCTCCCCTTGCATCGGCAGCGGCAGAGCCAGTGCCACCGCAGTCGCCCGTATGGCCCTATCCCGCTCCGCCACGTTGGACGCATGGTTGGCGGCCTCACCCGCCAGCTGGCCGTGACGGAGACAGTCCTGAAGGGAGAGAGGGTTGCGTTGCGATGGGCTGATGGGTGATAGATGATGGTTGGCTGATGGCGAGGTGTCTGGGCAAGACGGGTATGATATCGGAAGAGATATCGGAACAGTACCCAACGTGACCCAAAGGTAGCAGGGAGATAGAGAGGGTGCGTGGAAGGAGTGAAGCACGTTAAGGAACGTGGAATGCGTACATATCGGGAAAAGGAAACGCCTTGGCACTATTGTATCTGTTATATCATGATCCGCCCAGCCACGACCACATTCCTCTTCCCTACTCCTTTCCATGTCCCGCGCTCTGCCCGCAGCCCCGCCCTCGGTCCCCAGTCTCTAACTGACCCGCTGGTGCTGTGCCGCCATGGCCTCCTTCCTGCTCCTGGCCGCCTCCACCTCCCGTTCCAGTGCGGTGCACCGCTGCTGCTTCCCTGCCGCCACCCGGTCGCTGTCCACCAGATGCGCTTGCAGCTCCTCACTGCTCTCCTCGAAATCCTCGCGCCCCTCGTTCTGCAGAGCCAGGAGGAGGGTGAGGGTAAAGATAAGGTTCGTTTCTATTGAATGGGAAAACCCCAAGTTACATGTAATAGGACACAAGCTGCTAGAATGGCTTTATAACAACCAACAGTGGGAAAAAGGTGTCCATGGGATCGGGACACGGGATGGGCGGGGAATGCGCGCAACTTGGGTGGGATGAAGGCGTGGGTTAGGTGTAACACGCCTTCCTCCCTCCCTCGCAGCACTCAGCTTCATTACTACGATCTTACCCTGAACCTGTCCTCCCGCTCCCGGTTGGTGGCCCTCAGCTGCTCTAGCTGCCCCCGGCGGCTGCTCATGTCGCGGGCCAATGAGTCGATCTCCCCAAGCTTGGAGGCCAGGGCTGAGCGCTGCTGCTCCAGATCCTGGGCATGCGGGAGGAGGTAGGGACCTTATGCAAGAAGCAAAGCGGGAGACCGTGAGCGCGCGCGAAATGGCACGGGGTTGGGGTGAAGGTAGACAGGCGGAGGTGCTCGTCCCGGCAGCATACATGCACCTAACTTCATCTTCATCTCCTAACACCGTCCCATAACCATTTTCATTCTCGCGCTCCGCACCCGTATCTTAGTTTCGAAGCTGGCCATCTGCGCCTGGCAGTCCGCTACCCGGGACTTTGCCTCCTCCCGCTGACCCATGTGGTGGGTAGCCATGTCCTTGACCTGGAAAGGGGAGTAGGTTAGATGGAGAGGATTCACTGGGCCTGGTTAGGAAAGAGAAGATCAGATCAAAGAGCCTCGGCCATGAACAATAGCTACAATTGGTGCGGGCCGGAGAAAACCCTCTTCCGAGGCCAAGCCCTGCAGAGGCTGGCTAGGATGACAACCAGCTCGAAGGTATTGGTCCGCCACGTCATGTTGCAATACTCAAGGCGGCCATCAGAAGAGGAGTGCGGTGGGAGGACACGGACACTAGTCCAGACATTACCAATAGCACCACACAAACAAGCGGCCCCATCGAGCCAGTGAGCAGTAAACGTGCACCGCTGATTCCTATTCCAGCTTCCAGCTCTCTGTCCAGCACCCACCCTCCCACTCCCACTGCACGCACCTGTTTGAGCGTCTCCATGCTCAACCTGTATTCCTTAAGCGACTGGGCTTTCTCAGTACGCAGCTTGCGAAGCGCCTCCAAAGCCTAGAGGGAACAGGGGTGGCGAGTTTCGTTCGGACTCAGAACTGTTTTCCTTTTGTCCCGCGCTCTCCACCCGCTTCCGCTTCCGCTCACCATCAGCAGCTACGACTGGCGCCCTCCGTCCTCCACACTGCCTTCCATTTTCAACTTCTGGTCCCTCCCCCCTCTGGTCCCTTCTCTCCCTCACGTCCCTCAAGCCCCGGAAGTTCTCCAATCGCTTGCCGCCCCTTCCGTCCACTGCCACCTTCGCCCATCCGCTCGCCTGTTACGCCCTCGTTTGCCCGTCCCCATGCCATTCCCACCGACCTTGGTATACTTGGTGGCTGCGAAGATGTCGTCAAACTTCTCCTTGAGCACCTTGCCCTCCGCCAGCGGCCAGTTGGATTCCTCCTGGTGCACGAAAATGACGTTCTCCAGCACCGCCTGTGGAGGCCGGGCCCGCCGGGAACGGGTTGACGAAGCTGGACTCAAAATCACTTGAGGAAACAACATGGGAACAACGGAGCCGGCCACGAGCACAGTAAGTAGGCTTCATCGCGCCCTACTTCATCGCCCTCGCACCTCGCCCTTCCTAGCAATTTACAGCCCCTCCCTTTCCCAATCCCCACTACGTCTGTGTCATTTCGATTCCTCGCCTTGCTTACCGTACTGACCCACCAGCACGAGGGCAAAGCAGTGGTAAGAGACTCCACTCCCAAAAGACTGCACCCCCACCTGCAGATCACACAGCAGCCTAATCCACGCGCCTCACCCCACCTCATCCCAAAGACCGCACCCAACCCATACGCAACACCACGTGCCCCCCTCCCCACACCTTGGATACGCCCATGAGCGTGGGCACCATCCGGTCCAGGTCGGCACAGCGGTACGTGACCGACTCACGCTGACCAGTGTTGCGATTGCGGCAGGACAGCACCGCATCCAGGCTCTTGAACTGCAGAGCCGTCTTCTTCTGGGTCAACTGCGGAGCCAGGGCAGGGGGTACACGAGGAGAAAGAGGCCGCGAAGGCAACCAGCTGGGAATCGGGAGCACGAGGCCGTAGGAAGGCCAGCATGCGGGCGGAAAGGTGCAGGAATACCGCCCTTACTGTTCGTCCCTGTCTTGATAGCTCCGCGCCGTCAGGTCATGAACCCGCATACTGAAAGGGTAAAAAAATCACCCTCCTACTTTTCATTCCGCCAGACTATAGCTCCCTAAAGGTCTCTTTCTTTCCCCTTGCTCCGGTGACCTGTGACATGGCGGCCAGCTGAAATGCAAGCTGCTCACGGCTGCGGTGCGGTACCTGCACTGGTTTTTGCTTCACCTCGTGCGTGACTGCCGTCCCAGCCTCTATCGCCCTCCCCGCTTCACATCCGTTACTTTCAGCCCCTTTCCCCCTCTTCGGCCATGCCTCCCCTGCACGCAATCCGTTCTACTCCACTCCGCCCCACCTGGAAGGACCTGGTGACGTAAATGGGCTGCCCAGTGGCGGTCTTAAAGGACAGCTTGATCTGTGCCTTGACCTCCGTCTCACCCGCCACCTGGCAGCACCAACAACACCGCCACCGTCATCAAGGCAATTGGGAGGTTAGTGACGTGATGCTGCGGCAAATCATCGAGCAGATGGAGGAACGGACGAGAAATCTAAAAGCGATACACCGGTATCGGAAGGAAGCGCCACAAAGGCAAGGGAGCGGTTAGTGAGTAGGCGGGAGGGGTAATGGGTGCAGCGCGCAACGGGGACTCAATGAAAACGTGTGTGAGTCAGTGGGTGAGGGAAATCGGCAAGACGCCATTGGCCGTGGCGGAGATTCCGCCAAATATAAGAAGGCAAGTCATTACAGTATGGGACCAAGACAAAAGGTAAATTTAATCATGGGCCTTTAAAAGGAAAATAAAAAAACACAAGGAAGTGTCGGTCTGGGTGTATTCATCTCCATCCATGTGCACCTGTATTGCCTGTACTTCCCATGACGTCCCTAAGCATGCATGCCCCCAAGCAAGCATGCCCCTATCTCTTCTCCTGGTGCAGGACCAAGTACACGCACAGGTACACGCGCCCAGATGTCGCGGCGATCTCTGCAAGGTGAGAATTTTTTGCTTATCCTTCTTAACACACCTTTGGATCGTGCACGAAGCCCTGCCCCTGCCGAGTGTTAGGCGGCAGCTCGCCGGTGGTGGCATTGCGGAGGCACTCGATGATGGTCTGCCAGCCGTGACCAGATGGGATTTCACAAAGGATGAAATGGCGAAAGGCGAAAATGGGGTCGGAGGGGTTAAAAGGCCTGAGGCAGGCGTTTGTGGCGCAGCCATCGAGGGGTCGGGGAGACGAATGAGGCTACGCTATCACCGTGCAATAGTGTTTATTGATTGATTGGAAGTAGGGGCAAAGGGAGGTTATGTGGTTGAAAGCATAGGAAAGCACAATTATGCGCAATTATGGCGACGCCACAACCCTGAGGAGAGGGAATCGGATAGTGACATATCTGATCAGGCAGCCATACATAAGCATGGAGGTCTGAGTATGGAGGATATTCGGTGAACCCTGGAATATACAGGGCGTGATGCAGCTGACAGGTCCTGGAGGCACCTGGCAAGCTAAACCCCGACATACACCCCCATGACCCCGCACCGTCTTCCCCGCTCCATTCGAACCGACGACGATGGTCAGAGGCTTGTAGAACTCGATGATATATTCATTATCTGGGCTAAAACTCCGGATGCCCTTAATGAGAATCTGCATGGCGGACAGCTAAGTGTTTCCCTAGGCTTTATGGAATACTAAAAATTCGGCCAAAACGACAGTTGACGCAATTTATGGAAGCAGCGAGCAGCGTGCAAAGGCATTCGAAAAGACTTCGTCAGTCGCAAAGCTTTCGCGCGAGAAGGGTGCCAACTCCTTCGCTGGCTGCCTTCTACTGGCGAGGTTCTCACCTTTTCTATCGTGCACATCCTTCCAAATCACGCAAGCTCATCGATCAGCAAGTCTGTTATTCAGGCAAAAGTGCATCCCGCTCCATCAACGGAAGTCCGTCCTCTGATTAAACAGCACGTTTCAAATGTATACAATTTGCTAAAGTAATAATGGAGTCACGTCAGAACCTATGAAAGTGCTTTGCTCTACGCTGCAGCCTTGTACATGCTGTGCATGCTGTGCATGGTTTGGGGCTTAGCGGAGGGGAACGTGCTCAAAAGGCACATTACTACTGCCAGTTACGCGTTATAGCGCTAAATTAGGAAAAGAACTATTGCCAGTGCCAACTGCAGGCGCTTACACGTCCAATCCTAACGGAAATTTGCAACGGGAACATGGCAAAGGGGAAGTGGCATTTATGGAGACTAGTACATCACATTTACGGAGCGTGGAGCTGTATGGTGGCCTTCTCGCTACAACACTTGTCGTTGGATTAGGAAACTGGGAACTGGTGTGACTGCGCACGCATCCTTAAAAGTGGTGCCAACCACAATAGGTTTGCTGCATGAGACCGACCATAGCTTCCGACATGACTCCCTTTCCAGTGTACTTTACACTGCGAGAGCGTAGCACGCCACGACTCCTGCCTCTCTTTTGCCCCTCCTCCACACCCACTGTAATTCATCCCCGCGGTAGGTACTACGCTTAAATGTTCCCGAGTTACACGGATGACGCATTTTCGAAACGACCAAGCAACCAACGTAGACGTCCCCGATCACATTACCGACGACGTCACTGGCGCCGATACCGCAGCCTTCGGCTTCCACGCCAGCCGGAAAGATTTTACTGCCGACACATTCAATCCTTCCAACCGCAACAGGTGCCCTGCCAGATCCAACCGCACCCCATCCTCCAGCCGTACTGGAGCCAACCCTTCCACCTCAACCTCAACCTCCAACCCAACACTACCCGGCGGTAGCGCCACACCCACCACTACCACACCCCACACACGCAGCTGCCGTACGTCGACGTCAGCGCCAGCGGGCCCCTCCGCCGCCGCTAACATCTCATCGCCAGTGCTGCCAAACCCATCCACAGCCCCAAGACCATGACGCGGCTTCGGAACACGCCACGGTTGTGGCGGAGTTGTTGCTGCCTCGACATGAAACTCCATCCAGCCCGACCCCGCCGCCAGGCTGGCACCCGCCGCCATCCGCACTCTTAAAGACCCGGACCCGCCCACATCCGGGGCCGTGCCATTGTCCGCGTATAGAAATCCGTTCGCCACCAGGTCGTCCCTGATATCCCGCCGCTCCGCCGCCGCCACATCCATGGATCCAGATCCAAATCCTGATCTTGTGGCGGGCGGATGCCCCTGTGCGCTTGACCCGGCGGCAGAGAGCAGTACGAGGAGTGTGAGGGGCGAGGCGGCGACGCTGGAGGTCGTGATGGCGGTGGGGGCGGTGGGGCTGGCGAGCGGCTGTGTGGGTACGATAGACCCTGCTCGGAGGAAGAGGGGCGGCGCGGCGCCCAGTGGAGATTTGACTTGGCGCCAAGAAGGACCTGGACGCGGGGGAGGGGGGAATGGTACATACGTGCATGCGACAGTCAAGGTACTTTATAAGGAGGGAGATGAGTTAGCAGGTTGGCGGGAAACGGGGGGGGGGAGGGAAAGAAGGGGCTTAGGAGAGGAGAAGCTGCGGGGGATGATGGGTTCCGGTGTTCGGGACCAGGCGGCGCCAGGGGCCTGGCGGGTGTGGGGTTGGCGGGTACCAGGTGGGAGCCTGGAAGGGGGAAAAGACGAATGACGAGCGAGTGAAGCTGCAGCCACGGAAAGAGTGCTGCGGCGGATGTACAGGACGGTAGCAGAACTGACCAGTCGACGGTTGTGAAGAAGCAGTCCTCGGGATGATGTGGTGACGACGACAGCGGAAAACTACCTACCTAGCCGCCAAAACTAAAACAAGAGCGGAAAAGGAGCAGTAGAGCCAAGCCGTAAAATATTAAAGGTAGGTGTAGAGGCGGCGAAGAAGTAATAGAAACTGGAAAGGGGGGGAAAGACGGCCCCTCACGAAGGCCCGACGGCAAAACGAATGCGGCACCATGAAGCCAGGAGGGTAGGTGCGCTTAGAGTGCAGAGCAGCGCCGACATCGGGCCCAGAAGGTAACGCAGACCGCGCAAAGCCGGGAGTACCGGCGTGGCGCGTGGGAGGTAGAGTGCGTTCAAGGAGATATGTCAAGACAGACCACACCATGTCGAGACAGGAAAAACCGTTTGTTACAGATCTGTGCGCTTCCCTCCCCCCACACACTCACACACAAAGACACGCACGCACGTCGTCCCCTCTCTTCAATGCGGCACACAGGTACGAGAAAGACGAGAAATTACCCCTTCACCCCCCCCCGGCCCTCCCAACCCCCAACCCCCCCCCCGGGCCTACCCGTGTAGCAGTCGCTCAAGTCGCTGTAGCGACACCACGTTCCACTGCTGATACTGCTGCCGCCTACGCCGCTGCTGCTAGTGCCGCTCCAAATGCTGCTGCTGCTACTGCTGTTAAATGCCTTGCTGCGGCCTCCGCTGCTCCCGGGGGTGCCGTGGTCGGGGTACTCAGAGGAGAGGTCGGCGGGGCCGGGGCCGGAGAAATACACATTCACCGTGTCCATGTCGGGCGCCAGGACGGGCGCCACCATCAACGCATCCCCCAGTAGCCACTGGCTGGACAGATCAGTGACCCGTGGGTCACCTGGGACCGCCCAGACCAGCGGCCGTGCTACCGTGCCGCCGCGGGTGTGCGCCAGGTAAAAGGCAGTGTACAGGTACGGCAACAGAGAGTACCTGTAAGACCAGTACGACGTTTTCGAGACACGGCGAGCCGGGCCAACTCTTTAGCAACAAAAGAGGTCTTCCTCGCGTGCTGGTCAGCAGAGGGCCGCGCACGTCACAAACAGGGAAAGGTCCGCACATGCACGTGACAGCACACATGTTGCGCACATGCGGCACAACGCGCCTACCTAGCGCCCAGCGCATTACGCGCCGCCTCCGCCACCAGCGGCCAGCGGTAGGGCTCCTGAGGGGGTGAGCCTCGGTCGCTGTGGTCGCGAGCGAAGGTGTAGAAGGCGCCCGCTGCCAACCACCTGCCAGGTCGAGATCGAGGTCGAGCGAGTGGGAAGGGGGAGGGGTGAGAGGCGGGGAAAGACGAACCACGAACGAGTGACGCTGATGCCAAGGATAGGCTCATACGCCAGGAGTATGTAAGAGGGGAGGGGGGGGAAAGCTACACTCCCGGGCTGGTTATTAAGGAACGCAAAAGCGACAGCGAACACAAAACATTCGTAGGTTGTATGATGAGGACACGCTCGCTATACTCGGGTTCCTCTCCATGGCCCCCCGTACGGTACGAGCCCCTAGAGAAAAAATCCCAACCTTCAGGAAACCCAACCCGGATTTCTCCCCCCCACACACCACCCGGCCTCCCGCCCCCCATGTTTGCCCCCTCTACATTCCGAGTATCAACCCCCATTTCCTCTACCCTCCTCCCAACACACATACATACACACATACACGCAATTCCGTACCTCCCTCACCTGGCACACAGCTGCTCATTGGTGGCCCCCATGAAGCCGCAAACATCCGCCCCCGCAAGGGCCATACCCGCCAGAGATGCCGCCATAAGGCCCCCCGGAGACCTCCGCAAGTCATCCCAGCTGGCGGTGTTGTCCCCAGTCCAGTGAGCCGAGTAGCGACCCTGACCAGCCCAGGAAGACCTGCAAGGTGTATTTGCGGGGGGGTGTTATGTATGTATGTATGGTGATCAAAAAATAAAAGAAACAGCTGCCCACAACGTGATGCTTTTCCAAAGGACCAATGTTTGTGAGGGGAGAGGTTGGGGGATGGGGGAGGCTTCACAGGATGCGTAGGATGGGGGTGGGACTCGTTTATCATTAGCCAGATCGAGGATAAGGTTTGGGAAAAGACTTAGTGCTGAGTTGACTTTACTAATGTTCTAGCCATCTCTCCATCAGGAATTTTTAAAATTCCAGTACATGTCGTACAGACCGTGCAACGCCGTACAAGCAGTCTGTCCACCTGGTGAGGATGAAGGGCCTTGCGCCGGGGTTGACCGACCGCAGCGCTGCGTGAGTCACACGGCTCTCCGCCAGCGCGTACAGGTTATGCGCGTCGTACTGCCGTACACCACCGTACCCCACGGCCGTCATCGGCAGGGTGTTGCCGTACAAGGGCGCATGGCGGTTACCGTTATTGACGCGGTACGGCGGGTTGGACAGCGCGTCGTCTGGACTGCGGAATGGGAGGAGAGGGTGCCCAGGGGGGCCGGGGGGAGGAAACAGAACATACGATGATGATGAATGGGCGCAATGCAGGGAAAAAACAACTACTGCCGACTTTTTCATTAAGTGTAAACCCGGTGTGTGGGGAACCTCGGACAGAAGAGGTACGTTGTCCTCAAAACCCCAAGTTAAACTCTAGGTGGTGAGGAAGCGATCAAGTACTCCTCCCAAGTAAACCTACCCTTGCCGGAGGCCGTCCCCCTCGGTACCCTGTCACGTCCGGCAGCGCCCTTTGGTCTTCTTCTTCTTCTTGCTCATCTTCTAAATTGTCTCTATCTTGTTATTGTATACTGTGGACCGTCAAAACGGACAACACACCCACCCGGGCTGTCTGCACTGCAGTACACAAGCGATGCCCAAGGGCCCCGCCGGACGGCCAGAAGCAGCGGCGGCGGCGGCGACGGCAGCGGCGGCGCCAACCTCTGTCGCTGCCGCCGCCGCCGCTGCAGACGGTGACCGCCGCGCCGGCAGCTCACACTCGCCCGTGCAAAAGTTCGACGGCTCGTTCATATCCAGCCAGATGCCGTCATACGGCAGTTTGTCGTACATCTCCGCCATGAGGCTCGTCCAGTACGGCGTGGCGTTGGGGTGCATGAAATCCGGCCAATGGGTAGGCCCTGACCATACCTGGGCAGCGAAACACGACCCGCGAGTCACCCTGGAGCGCAGAAACACCCCCCGGGGGCTTCAGCGTCCCTTTTCTCATTTCCTCTACCACCCATACATACATTTAAAGACGCACATCCATACAGACGCACAGACACGCAGCTATGAACTGACTAATACACACACACACGCACCAGCTTCCGCACCCACCTGTCCCACCAGCGGTTGCCCACCGCTGTCCTTGATAAAGACATCGTACGACAAGCCCCTCTCGTACGGCTCGTACCCAGCTCCAGGCAGCGCCGTGATGCCGCAGTCCAGTATAGGCACCCAGCGCCGCCCACTGGCATGTAGGCTGAGTGGGAATTCAGAGAGGTTTGAGAAAAGGGGATTTCAGGGCCTGGATGGATTCTGGAAGCGCTAGTGTGTATGCATGTATGTGTGTGTATGTGTGTATGCTGAAGACAGGGCCAAAAACAGGGCCAAGCTAGCACATGGGAGGTCCGTTGGTACGGAGAACGTTTTTGTGTATTTGTGTGCGCCCATGTGCGCATGTGTGCGCGGACGTCTCTCTGTGCGTCTGTCTGTCGCGCATCCGGATCAACCCCCGGCCAGCTCCGCCCTCAACACCCGGCATGGCAGATTCCCGATTTCCGATTCCAAACGGAGCGCCTCCGAAACCCCCCCCCGAGTAGCATAAAGAGAACCTCCCCCCCCTCGCAGGACGCGCGACGACGAACCTGTCCACTAAAGCCCTCAGTCGCTGTTGGGGGTAGTGCTCGGGGTCCACTGTGAACATCCGCGCTCGGTCCGTGTAGTCAATGTCGCTCCAGACCACGTCAAGCGGGATGCGTGCCTGGTTGTACGACGCAACTACGTCCTCCAGCTCGTCCACACTGCCGTACCCGTACCTGTGCGCGCTTGAGGCGGCGTGCGTGGTTATGGACAGGCGGGTTTCAGCGCTTCACACCACCACCCTCAGCTCACAGCACATATGTGTCCGTATGTCCGTATGTATGTATGTACTTATGCTGCACGGAAGAAAGATGTATGCTTTGTGCGCGTGCGACGCTGCACATACCCGCCATGTCGTCATGTCACACATCTGTCACTGCCTATCCCGTCTCCTCGCCGTTAATCGGCCGTAACGGCTGTCAAGTGGCTGCCACGAACACAATCATGCAAACACACACGCACACAACACATACATACATACACACATAGGCAGGCGGCTGGCAGAGGTTAAGGCCTGACTTCTGCTCCCGGCCGACCCGGTTCAAATCCGCCTGCCGACTCCTCGGGTGTTTGAGGAGTGTTGAAATGGGAGGTGGCCCCCCATCATATGGACGATGTAGGACGTGATAAAATCAACTTGCAAACTAACCAGTAACTAAGTTGTTGCGCCGTTGATCCGCTAGATTTGGATGGATGCTGGTGGTGAGTTGCCGAACCCAACGAATACACTCTGAAGTCGGATGGGGTGACGGATTAGGGTGCCCCTCTAGCAGGGGAGAGCAGGGACTGCCCCGGGAAAGGGGGCCGCTGGCGAAGTTAACCACCCTGTAACAACATACATACATACACACGGACACACGCACACATACATACACGCACATAACACACACATAGATACACACACACGCACGCGCACCTGGACTGGTGGAATCCCAGCGCCCAACGCGGCGGCATGGCGGGCCGTCCCACCACCTCCTGGTACTGCGCCGTCACCTGCTCCGGACCGGGGCCACAAAACACCCACAGCTCCAGAATCCCGCCCACCATTCGGAAGGTCACGTCCCCACCGGCCCCCGCAGCGAAATCCATCGCGTTGCTGTTGGCAAGAAACCAACCAAAGCTAGTGCCTCCGGGCGCGATGCCGTATAGTACGGGATGAGAGCCGTACAGGTTGACGCCGACGGCAGAGGCGGGTGTGTCGCTGTTCCATAGGGCCCGATAGGAGCCGTCGCGGGGGAGCTTTAGGCCGCCAGCTTGCGTCGTCTCGCCTGGTCAGGTGACGTAGAGGATGACGGTAGGAGGCTGATTACGATGATGAAGTGGGTGGTCACTTTGGGCGCCTGACGGGGGGATCACCCCGTGGCGTGGCGCGCAGGGTATTGGAGGCGCCTCGCAACTCGCAACCATTGATTGCCGCACATACACATTTGCCAACGGGCGACGGTGACTGCGAAGGCCACATGCCGCATCATGCGGGATGAGGAGGTGCATTTTTAATGCATACGTCCTTTCCGTACCCAGCCGGCGTCAACAACCCTCAACGCTACCTAGGTGCCGCCACATAGGTACATACGCACGTCTCCATACAGTTACGGAAACCGCATCGGAAGACACCCACAGCCTTCTAGTTTGTTTAGGGTGTTGCTTCATCGGGCGGCGGCTTTACCTACATATACTCGCCGCCGTACACCTACCCATGCCGTACAGGTTTATGTCGGTAGGGACCTGCGCTCGCAGCTGTAGGAATTGCGGTTTGAAGACCAAACATCCTCTGCCGCTCAGATCCAGCAGGATCTGGTCGCTGGATTCGTTGCCGTTGACATCGTCGTCTTGTGCGCCAACACTTGCATCTGCAGTACCTCGTCCTCTCGCACCATTTCCGCCGTAGCCGTTAAGGCCAGCTGATTTGGTTTCCGTTGTTCCGGTTAGAATTTTCGCCCTTGCGACTTTGAGGCTGAAGTCCGCGCCGGCGGTGGGAAGGTGGAGCTGATACAAGGGAGCAGCGGGTGGCTTGGAGGGAGATGGTGGCCTGGCGGGAAACGTCGAAAGACGTGGCGCGGCAGATGATGACCAGGAAAAGATAGCTTGGAAAACATAGATGAAAGCTGGGCTTCAAACACAGGTGGTGCAGGTAAAGTTGCGAAAACCGGTTCGTGCGGCCGGTGATTCTAAGTGACAACGCATGTAATCATTTAAAAAAGAACGCAACGAAACAATAGGAGAGGCATATGTCTTAATGTGCATTGGCCGCCTTCTATAAAAATCGCGGCATACATAGCAACAATCCTAATACTATTAATAGCATCTATAACGGACATTACGTTGTAAAACATTAACATGTAAGATCTTTTCAGGGAGGGATACATAGTGGTCATACATCAATTTCATGGGTGGGTCCGAGGACCGCCAAATATTGCGGAAGGTTCCGAAGAACACGACCGACGGGGAAGGAATAAGTTTTCAACCAGCAATAGTCGCGCCTCGATTAGATCTCATAGGCTGCGACATTGCCCCAAGCGCAAAGATACTTTCGTGAGGAAATCGGCAAACCCAGACCCAAAGACGATTCCCATCAGGCAACACTGCGCGTGATGGTGGGTCAAAAGCAATCTCTTGACCGCTGGCTCAATTCCTTTTCTGTGTGACATTAACAAATCTTAAACCTTCTTGTCATTATTAAACCTTTTAATTAAGGCTCTGCAACCAAGGTCGAGTATAGCTCCGCTCCGCACGCGCGAGTTTAGGTCTGCCTTAGTCTGCATTACCGCGTCGCAATATGTATTCTTTTTTAAGTTGATGTGTATGGAGTATTACTAAACTTAATGAACGTTTTGGCTTGGCATATTAGGCGGATGAGCTAAATCCGTTTAAAAATCTGAACCACTGTTAGGATAGACAGCTGTGCTCGCCAGAGAGATTTGGAAAGCACCAGAAGTGTGATCGGAGTGGAAAAAAACAATTCGCCAAACGGGGCCCCAAGGGAAATTCGTGCCACACCAGGTGCCCCTGCAGTGCACGTCTCCTTGCTTTCCAGGTACCCAGTTTGCAGTATTTACAATGGACCCCGATCGGGTGGAGTCAGCGCTCCAAGGGACGCTTCCCGCATGACACTGTGGGCCCTATTCAAAAAGGATTCGGTCAGGCACCCAGACCCCAAACCATTTGCTACCGCGCACTCTAACCCGTACACCACCTTCCAAACCCACCTGGGCAACAGCTCCTCTGGCACACGCCACCGCGCCTCAAGCAGTCCTGCTTTTCCTCTCTCCGCGCTCTCCTCCGGCTCGCCTTCCCCTTCCCCTGCTGCTGCTGCCGCCGCGCCCGGTGCTTCCTGCCCCGCGGGCTGCACCCGGATGTACAGCCGGTGCGCCGCCTGCTGCTCCAACCGCACCTCCAGTCGCTCACAGTCAGCGCCCAGATCCGAGCCCTGATGGTGCTGCTGCCGCTGGTGTCGGAAGTGCTGTCGCTGTTGCTTCTGCTGGTGTTGGTACAGCGAATCAGCTTGGTCATGCTGGTGCTGATGCCGATGCTGATTCACATCGTCGGGACGCTGCATCCGGCGTGAGGAAACTGCAGTGGTGGCAGTGGCAGCTGCGTCTCCTTCCTGACGGAGCCGCAGCATCAGCGTGGTAATGGCGCCTCCTGTCAGGAGCACGACGGAGGACACGCTGCATAACCTCAGCAACCAACACTGCCACAGACGTTGCAGAGGACCGTATTAAGACCAGCAATGCGCCGGACCCCCCAATTGGGTCCTATCTATTACTGCTGTTACCATTCTCTGGTGTATGAGTGTCTGTCATTTCCAACAGACCGAAAAGAATCTTCGCATCGTAAGGATCACTGGAGAATTTCCCTTATTCTGAGACGCCGAGGAGGTCCTCCGGGGAAGAGGAGGGGAAAAGGGGAAGGCGGAACGACGAGAAAGGAATAGTACTGTACTGTTCCCGTTGCCAAGGGTATGGCATACAACGTAGGGTTGTTGTCTAGGGTTATTCGTCCCCCTTTCCCCGGCGACGTGCGACCGCATTGTTATGATGCGGACTGCCGGTCCAACCTGGGCCAGAAGGCTGTATGGATTCGACTTCGTACACTGGCTCCTGCTCCTGGGCGTTGGGGAAGAAGCACCACGGCAGGTCATTCTGGCTGCCCTGTGCCGCCGAAGCAGCTGTGCCCGCCGTTGCTGCTGCTGTTGCGGCAGCGGTTCCGCCGCCGCCGGCGCCGCCGCCGCCGGCCACGGTGGCGAAAGCAGCGCTGCCGTCAGGTTCTGTGTTTCTTCCCTCTTCCGCGGCCGCTGCGACGGCGACGGGCGACCAGCAGCACCCGCGGCTTTCGCACTCCGGCTGCTGGATGCCGAAGTAGCCTGAGGAAGGGAAAGAGGGGGCAACACAGCAAGGACCACGTCCTCGACAGCTCAGGAGGGAAGGTAAAGGGTTATAACGTACGTACGCATGATCTACCCCTGGATTCGTTGATGGCGAGAGCTGCTGATCCCCTCCCGTCGCTTTATGGAGTACCAAGGCAGGGAGGGAGCCAAGAGCATGCACTGGGTCCAAAAGTAAAATAATGCGTCGTTAAGTTTGATGGTAGTAAAATGGAATACATTTCAGGATTGTATTAGTGTTACGGACGTGCCAGAGGAATGTAGGTGTCTCGGCCGTGTACCGTGGGTCTGGACCGCAGGAAATGGAACGAAAAGGCCGAGAACGCGGGGCGAGGCATACGCACCGCAGTCCGTCCGCGGCGCCTGAGGCGTGCACTGAATGTTGTTTGATGCAGTGTTGCTGAAGGACCGAATGGCGTGTCTGGCGCCTCCAACGAAAGCGTCGGAGCCCGAAACGAGATGCTCGTTGCTGGACGCAGGCTGAAGCCAGCATGACACCAGCAGAAGCAGCTGAGGCACGAGTGCCAAGCTGATGCACATAATGCTTGACTTCTGGAAAACCACTGGACTCCAGGCACCATGTACGTTCCGGGACATGGGAAGTCTTGCTGCGGGTCGGGTACCTAGGCGGAACCTAAGTGCATCCCCACATAGCGAAGCAACGGAGTGATGTCCTGGAGACGAAAGATAAACACGAATTTCGGTAGAAACGTTGCCAGCATTAAGCGCTTTTCTCTAACGGAATTTGCTCGTCCAATCGCTTTGCGAGGATACTGTTCAGAGCCAGGAGCTGTGTGCCTAATTAGCTTTTGGGATGTGTCATAAATGCTTACGGAAGGACTTTGAATGTGATCCTTACTTTGTTGCTTTATGATAATCGCAATCCCTAGGCCTTAGTTGGACGCCAGTTGAGACTCGAACGCCTCCCTTCCTCACCATCCAAGACTTCCTACAGCATGCATAGGATTCATAAGAATTAAAAATTTTCATTTTAATATCTCTTATTCCAAGTTGCCTTTACAAGCCGAGAGGAGTTATGAAAGACGCTCCTCCGCCTGCTGCTTGCGTGGCTGGCGGATTGGCTTTAGGAGCTACGGCAGCTCTGGCTTACTGGTCAGTAACTAAATGCGCCTCTAGGCACATCAGTTTGCGATTTTGCGTATTTCCCCTTTCTTTGCACACCGACGCACTGGCCGCCTGGCCTCTCCCAGAATAACTTCGAAGATTATCCAGTCTATTCCATTGTGCTGGCTGACGGTTGTACACCCAGGCAACATTACAATGACAACGTCGCCGCACCCCCCCGGATATGGCTTGCGGATGGACCTCTCCGCGAGAAGGTGCTTCCCCATTGCAACGCCCTGCTGCGGCCTTTTGCCCCCACGCCCTGGGCTGCTAATCGTCACGCGCAGACCCTCCTAGGCTGTAAGTTGCATTCCGCACTTATTGAACCTTGGACTGTTTCTAGGCATCGGGCTCTTAGCATGGAACGCTACAGCCTCATGCAAGTACGCCTATGTGGCCACACTGCCGTGTTCGCGGTAGCGAGGTGGAGTGGCCATGTGGAGTATTGCTGTGTTGGCACTTTTCGAAACAGCAGCTCTGCGTGTGCGTGCCAGACAAACTAGTCACTCAACTGCAGCATAGTTTCCCTGGCACCGTGCACGCCCCCCCTCACTCCCCCCAAGAGCAAAAATCTCTCTTCCTCTAATTCACCACCCCCTCCCTCACTCCCATAAACCTTCGCTCCTTCCGGGGACCCCCTCCCTCGCGCCGCCCAACCCTCGTTCCCCCTCCATCAGTCATGCGCACCCTCACCATCCGTAGCCGTTACAACCGCCAACTAATCCTAACCGTCGACGGCGCCACCTTGGGCCTGGACTGGTTTGGCGGTTGCGACGCGCCCGACTTTCCCCTTCCCGCCTCGGCGCCCGTGCTGCTGGTGTGCCACGGCATCAACGGCGGCAGTCACGAGGGGTACGCCAAGTGGGTGTGTGCTGCGGCTCTGGCTCGCGGCTGGCGGGCGGCGGTGCTCAACTACCGGGGCTGCAACGGTCTCCCTTTCACAGCCCCCCGGGGGTACTCCGCCACCATGTCACCTGACATCTTCACGGCGGTCTACTCGCTCAAGGCGTGAGTGTGTGCCGCCTAAGGAGCCTAAGGATTTGGGCTGTGGGCGGTGTGAGGTGTTGCGAGGAGGAGGAGAAGGAGGGGAGGGAAGAGGAGGGGGGCCCTGGGGGAAGCTCGTAAGGAACACATCGGAGGTGGTTGGAGTGAAAGACGGTACCAGAGGGGGTTTGAGGGTTTTGGATGACCGCAGCAAAGGTGTGTGCGCGGGTGTTGTGGGTTGTTAAGTTAAGATGCACGAATAAGGATGGCAGGGAGAGGGGCGGGTGAATGACGGCGAGGGCCGGGAGGAGGAGGTGGAGGTGTCTCTGACAGCTGACGGACAGGCGGACAGACAGACGGATGGACGGACGGGGTTGTGTGTTGCTTTTTTCCTCCACGATTTCACTACACACACACCCTGGGTGGACCACACCACCACCACCGCTGTCACTGGGCTTCCCTCTGTCCCCCCCCATTACTTACCGCCCTGCCCCACCTGCTTCCCTTCTTCCCATCCCTCCCCTTTCTCCTTCTCACTCCCCAGTCGCTACCCCTCAGCGCCCCTGCTGGCTGTGGGCTACTCCCTAGGGGGCCTCAAACTCACGAAGTACGTGGGGGAGGCGGATGCCGGGCTGCACGCCCCACCCCCCGGCCAGCCGCACCTCTTCAGCGGCAGCGGGCTGGCGGCTGCGGCGGTGGTCAGCTCCCCGGTCAGCCTGGGGCTCAGTGCGGCCAAGCTGTCGGACCCCACCTCCATCAGCTTCCTGTACAATCTGGCAGTGGCCTACAAGTGCGGGGGTTCTGGGGCCCGGAGGGGCGGGAGAGGAGGGAGGCAGGTGGAAGAGGCGGCTTTTACGGCCTGGGCTGGCTGGGTGGGATTTGGAAGAATAAGGGCGGAGTGAGGGTAATGATGGTGGGTCCATTCCAACGCCAAGAAACAACAACCGTCGCGCTCTTCAGAGTATTCGTATGTACACTCACATACGCACACGCCCTTTTCCTCCCACCCCCCTACTTCCTCCACTTCCCCTAACGACTTTTTCGCTCGTACGCATTCACGCCCTTCTCCTCGCCGTCCGCTCCCACGGCCTCCCTAATCCCTAATCCCTAAAGAGTTCGCGAGCACATTGCCCTGCACCGCCGCGACATCGAGGCCCACACGCGGCTGGATGTGGACGCTGTGTTGGCGGCCTGGACGGTGATGGGCATTGAGGACCGCGGTCTGCCCGCCTCGCTGGGTTTCGCTGACCGGCAGCAGTACTACGATGCGGCCTCCTCCCTGGAGTACATTCCCGCCATCACCACCCCCACCCTCATGCTGCTGGCGGAGGATGACCCGTTCCTGGGGTGGGTGGCAGCGGAAGGGGGAGGGGGCAGTGGGGATGGCGTGGGAGGGAGTGTTTAAATGGGTGATCTGGAGATGGGGATGGGGAGGGAGGAGTTGTGAGAGGGTTGAATTGAGGTGGCGGGTAGGGGCATAGTGGTGAACGGCAGTGGAAGGTGGTGGGGTGGGGATTATGCGGCTGAGGGGCATATACTCGGTTCTGCACATAACCTCCTCTGCTCCCCGGAACCCACCTGGCCGGCACCTCCTCCCGGCCTACCCAACCCCCTCCGGCCCACCCACCCCGCGGCCTCCTGGCCCCGACTGTACATCTGTACGGTGCCTTCTTCCCGGATCCGGATCCAGTATCGTACCCGACGTGGAGTGCTCCCGGAACCCGTCCACCCTCCTGGCTCTCACGCGGCGGGGGGGTCACGTGGCTTTCCTTCAAGGCGCCTGGCCGCTGGGGAGATCCTACATGGACGACGCGGTGATGGAGTTTTTCGGCGCCACCCTGGAGCACATGCATGGGTATAAGCTGCCGGCGCCGCTAACGCCGGCGGGCGGCGGTCATGCAGCGCCGCTGCCGGCGGCGCCGGCGGATTCGCCGCGAACGCCAGCGGGCGCCGCTACCGCTGCCGCGGCAGGCGCGTCTGTGAACCCTATGATTACGGATGCGGCGAGGGCGGGGGCGCTGGCGGCGGCTGCGGCTGCGGCGGGCCGTTCCTGTAGGAGCCTGGCGGGGTGTTGCGGGGGTCCGGGCCTCCGAGGCGCCCGGGAGGTGGGGACGATGTCAACGATGCAGCACCACGACCACCATCATCATCATCATCATGATCACCATCACCAGACGGCGAGACTGGAAAGTAGTGGCGGTGCGCGACAAGCTGAACAGCAGCCCGGTGGTGGCAGGACGGTAGCAGCGGCGACGGCGACGGCGACAGCGGTTCAGATCTGTGGGGGCGGTGGCCGCGCCCGCGATGATGTGAGTGAAAGCAGCCGCCTCCAATCTGGCCAGCTGCTGTTATTGATGCAGTTGCAGCAGCAGCTGGAGCAGCGCCAGCAGGCAGCGGCTGCTGCTGCAGCAGCTCCGGCGGCGGCGAATGGGAGTAGCGGTGGCGGCAACGCCGTACTGCCATCGCCGGCGCTGCTGCCACCGCCGCGCTCGAAGCTTTGAGAGCCCATCTCACATATTGTAGCACCAGAACAGTGTATATCATCACAACCAGGTAACTGACAATACCAAGACGCCGTGAGCAATAAAGAACTGGCGTGCCTGCTCGGCTTCCAACTCTTTCTATAGCGCCGCTGTACCCTCGTTAACACCTCGAGCAGGGGCCTTCGTCCCTCTGCCTACTCTTCGCTGATTTCCCCTCCTCCACCTTCTCTCTAAAATGCCTAGGGACCTAGTTCCACGACGGTGTGTGCTTTATCTGAAGCCGCGAATAGGTGTGTGGCGTGTGTGTGTTTCGTAACAGGAGTGTATCGTCCCCATGTCCGTTCTAGGAGTACCCATCCCAGCTGCCCGCCGCCCGGTTGATTGCTGCCGTTGTTTCGTTGCGATTGCGGGTCGTGGTTGTGTAGATGGCGACCCTTTGTGTTATTGAGGCAAAGATGAGGTGTGATGATATTGACGGCGACATTGTCTAAAAGATTGCGGAGATTACGGCGATGGTGCGTTGACGTTGGTTTTCCTGGGCTCGTGTGCGAATCAAAACGCACAGCGCTTTTGGCCTCGGATGGTGAATTGAGTTGGAGAGAGTTGAGGGCTGGAATAAGAGCGACTTTTGCAGAGTGCGGTTTTTGTTGTTGTCGCTGTTGCGGTTGCTCGCCGCAGCGTCCCCAGGGGCGGAAACGAGAGCCATGTACGCGAAGATCCTTCGTTATACCTTATACGTTATCATGACGCATAAATGCCGACGAAGGTGATCTTGCTTTTGAATGTCGCCCAGGAAGGTTTGCTGGTTGGGTGGTTCTGAAAAGTTTTTATGCGGAACACCGATTTTGTCTTACTGCTACAAACGGTGAACTAGATGATTTCACAGCAGCTTTTTCCGCTTTCATTATGTGCGACAATGACGCAGGCAGCGGAGGCGTTGCGTGAATCCGCTAGCTGGCGCGGGCAGGGCAGTTTTCCGGACGATGGCTTGGTAAACGTTTTTGGGGGTAGTATGTCCCGTTTCTCCACGAAGAAACTTTGATAGGTGCGACGTCCATTACTCTCTTAAAAAAGTTAAAGGAGTTGGAAAAACGACCGTTTATATATGAGAGCGATGGGGGTGTAGGATGATGACGAGTGCTGGACTCAATGCAGTGTGTGAGTGTGTGTGTGGGGTCGGATGAGGATTACGAAGAGTAAAGCAAGCCATGGACCCAATGCCGCCCCGTGTCGGATGTCAAGACAGGATTGTAGGCTGCTACCGGTAGGGCCGGATAAGGTGGGGGGGAAGCTCCTTTCCTGGTTGACCAGGTCAACGGGGGAGGTACATGCAGTAGACTTGACAGGACTGGACTGAGCCGCGGAGTGACACCGAATATGGCAAGTGACGGAACAAAGAATCACATAATCGCTCCTGGTCTTTGGCTCGGTACCGCGAGGGGCCCCGGTGGTTTCAATTGTGATGATGCGATGTGGGCTCGCACGATGTCTTTCCGTTGTCCCGGCAATACGGAGTCGAGGCCAAGAGCTCGACCAGGAAGTTGAGGTGAAGCCGTGGGTGTGATGGATCTCTGGGGACATACGCTGATGATTCTTAAGGCGAGACCTCAGTCAAGTGAATAGAAGTATGCTCAAGCGTGTGTGTGTCTGTGTGTGTTTTGCTGTTTTGTGGGCAACACCAGTCCACAAGCAAAGACACACGCGCAGCTGATCGAACAAAAACAACATATGTTTTAAAGTATTGTATTGCTTAAGTGCTTCAATCTATATCTGATATATGATGACGTGGGACCAGGGCAAGTCGGACAGCCCCTTGGTGCGTGTCAAAGGAACATTGCTGCTGGGGTGACTCCTCATATTGGAATAATGCCATGCCGGGGTGCCCTTGATGTAAAATCCGTAGTGTGTGTGTGCGTGTGTGTGTGCGTGTGTGTGTGTGCGTGTGTGTGTGTGTGTGTGCGTGTGTGTGTGTGTGTGTGCGTGCGTGCGTGCGTGTGTGCGTGCGTGCGTGCGTGTGTGTGTGTGTGTGTGTGTGTGTGTGTGTGTAGGGAACACATGTTACTGTCCAGTACAGGTAGTAAAACATGTAATCCCAATGCCCCCGGATCCTAATTTTCGGAATCTTAGCTAGCGGGTGACTTTCTGCTGCCCTCACACAGTTTTGCTACCGTCACGTTGTGGGGCTCCTCAGCTACAATCTTATGAGCCGAGCGCGGTATATATGGAGTTAAATTTGCAGTTAGCAGCTCCGCATCCGCGGCGCTGTCGCCGTATATGTGCCACTTGTTTGTGCTCTCTCGCGTCTCTCTGCTTTCGCGTGTGTTCTCAGAGGCTCATACACGTTCGCGGAAGGGCGCAGGTCTTCCTTAAAAGTCGGGTCCTGGATCCCGTGGGTGCGGGGTTCTCTGCACTTCATACGTTGGGTCGCCGTCGTGGGGTTCGCTGGGGCCGAGCGTGCAGCAGCACACGACCTGGGAAGTGATACCGCGGGGTGCGAGGTGGCGTGTGGTGGTGGTGGTGGTGTCCGCATGGTAAGTGCCGCACCCATCCACCCTTTGCCTACCGTCTGTCCGTTGCGAACTGATAGGTAGTACGTGATTAGCAACTTCCCTATTTTGTGCCCCCAGAGCATATCACCACGAGAAGGCGTCATGCACCTTTATATGTCCTGATGTCACCCTCCCCTCAACTCCAAGAGCAGAGTGGCCCCATGCCAACACGAGCACCGACCAGACCCCTGCTCTTGTCAGTTTGAACACGAGATGCAGGGCACAAGGGCCACCCAAAAAGGGCATCCCAAAAAAACTAAAGTTCTCTTTAAGGTCAGTCATGTTTAAATAGATAATTTAAGTAACAACCTATTTACTTATCTAGGAACAGTAATGAAGTAGTATTAAAGGAAAGGCTGTTTCAAGTCCAAGCCAGGCCAAACAATTACACTCATGGGCCGCCCATCCGCTGGCGTGCAGAGGCCTCTCAGAAGTCCAGAGCCTTATTCCCAGCTGCAGGCGGCCCACCACATAGCAACGAGGCCGCGCTCTTCTTCCCCGTCTTCGCAGCCACTGCCACAGTGCCACCACTTGGCGCCACGGCGCCACCGCCGCTGCCTGCCGCCGCGGCCGCCTTGCCGCCAAACGCCTCAACTGCTCGGGCCGCCGCGGCCGCCTGCAGCTCCTCCGCATCTGGATCCACCTCCACGGGACTCAGTCCTAACCGCCGGCGCTTGTGCCGTACTACGTACAACTGACCATCTGGCAGGCGCGGGCCCACCATGCCGGCAGAGCTCAGCTTGCGGACGCTCAACAACGCCACGGCCCTGAGAAGCGGGAGCCCGGGGGGGGGGGCGAAGGACATCCCGGGGCCGAAAACATGAGGTGCTTTCTCCCGGTGCACAACCCTAAGTCCTGCACCCTGCATGAGCTCCAGGAAACGGTGAACCACTTGAGTTCGCAGCCCCTTGATCTCCTTTTTTTGGTTCCATTTCCGGCCTCCTTCTCTACCCATTTACCCATACCCCCATTTCCACTTTTTGACCTTGGCATCATCCTTCCCCCAGGCTCCCGCTAAATCTCCCCTTCTCTCACGTGTTCGGGTCCGGCAGCAGCTTCACCAGCGGCAGGTCATCCGCCAGCCCCTCCAGAGCCAGCACCGTATCCGCCAGGTGGGGCAGCCGGCAGGAGCAACCCGGGGACAGCAGGCCTGAAGGGGGCCCGGGAGGGGGGGAGTCATGATGATGTAGCTGACCGGGGAAAACCTTGGAAGCTACCTGGTCTGTCATACGCCCGAAGGACCTCGACCCACCGGCTTGGGCCCTGAAGTCCCCAGCCAGCTCGCCTCACCCTTGAGGTCGATCTGTCCCTTTATAGCCCTGGCTTTCCGTACGCCGTCCGTACGGGTACCGAAGCAGCTTCCCGGACCCACCAGGCCCACCTGCTGGCACAGTCACCATGACGGCACAGCGAGCCTGCATCGCCTGCTGCCGTATATTATACAGCAATCGTACCAACGCCTGCTCCGAGGCGCCGATGCCCCACGCCAAGCTCCCCGGGGATTCTATCACCAACCGGCCCACGGGGCTCTCCGTACGCCTCGCCGCCAGGGCCGCTGCCGCCACCGCAGCGGAGCCGGGCCCGGGTCCGGCCCCCGCGGCATTGCGCAATGAGGATATGAAGGTTGCGGCGCGGCCGTCAGCCTCCCCGTAGGCATCGGGCCCGGTGCAATGTACGACGTCCTAAACGACGAGGGCCGGCGCGACGCGTCCCAAAAAACACACAGCAGGAGAGCACATTACCAGGGCATTGTGCACTCCAGACAGCAGTAACAGCAGCAGCGCCGGCAGCAGTAGCAACGCCAATTCGATGTTCACTGGGGCGGTAGGCAACGTCCCAGATCACGATCAGATCACCGCTTCATCCCTCTTCTCCCCACAGTCCAATAATCCGTTGGGTGTTCATTCATTGTTCCCAGCTGCACCGCCCCTATGTCCCAAATTCCTTGGTCCCAGCCCCCCCCCCGGTGCCCCCAACCGTCCCACCAGCAGTGCATCCTTGAGGGCCTCCGCACCGAGGGGCCGAGTCAGATCGAAGCTGTGACACCACTCGCGGCCCACACCCGCAGCAACAGCGCGCGTTGCAGAGGAGGATGACGATGGTGAAGTTGACGATAGTGATTTGGCTGTAGAGGCCGCGGAGGAAGAGGAGGAAGATGCCATGGATCCGCGTGTGCTGTACGAGCTTTGTACGGGTTGCTGCTCGTCCTTGATGTACTTTTTGTATTGCCAAGCGATACGAAGCTCCGGCTGCTCCTTGTCCTTGCTGCTGTCCCCACCCTCCTCAGCTGCTGAGCCTCCAGACTGTGTGGTGGGGATGAATGAATGGATGGATGGATGAATGGATGGATGAAGGCCGGCACGATAGGCTTATGTAAGGACTGCAGGCGTAGGGCCATACGAAGTGAGGGACAACGCCGGCACCACCCGCACCGCACCGGCAGCAGCCACATCGAGTCCATGGTAACAGGCGGAGGAGGTGGAACAGGAGGTGGAATAGGAGGAGAGATACAGAAAGGGCCACAGCCTAGCTGTCAGAGAGTTCTATGCCACCGACCCGTGGGTCTCCCTACCTGCGATGCACTGGCATCCGCGGGTAGGAAGGCTCCGGGGCCCCCTGGTGGGGGGTTGGCCGTGAGCCATAGCACACGCTGCGTAGCAGCATGGGGGGGGGGAGAGCGGGTAGGTAGCTCGTGAGAGCGGAACCGCCAATTTCGCAGGAGGGCGCGGCTCAGAAACGGCGGTGACGGTGATTAAGGTGGCGGGTGCGGGCGGCAGCTGCAGGCGTGGCGGCAGGGCGCCTGAGGGAGGGTCACCAGGATGCCAAAATTATCACTTGTGGTGACTTGACAGGTGGGGGACGTATCCTCTACAGCGCCAGGTGGATCCACGCACCCAGCCAGCCAGCCAAAGTCGCACAGCCATCTCCAGATCCCCCTCCACACACCCAGAGATAAGCTCACCTGGCGGCATGCAACTCCCTCCGCAATAAAATAACGCATCAGGTTAAGGTGCTGGCCTGAGGAGGTGTCCTGAGAGGGGGAAGGGAGGGAGGGGAAGGGAGGGGGCCTGGTAGAGGGGTAGTGATCGGCAGCTTGAATGGACGAATACCAAAGGGGGTTCGGGTTTGGCGTGAAGATAGTGAGATGGGGTTCAGTTGCGAATGCGTGCGGGAGACGGTGTATTGGATGTGTGCGGGATCCGGTGTGGAATGGGTTGGGTGGGGGAAAGAGGGTGACGGGCGGCTGCGAAGGTGTTACTTGGCAAAATGTTCCTGTTTCCTTACCTCGATTACGAGCAGGACGGATGACAGTGGCAGGCCTCCGGATAGGAGGCGGTCAAGGTCAACGAGGCCCATGGATATAAGGGTCTGGCCGTGCAAGCCCGGGCGTGTGCCCGTACCTGCACGGGTCGCCGGGTCAGCGAAAAGGAGAGGCAGTACAGCATTCAAGTGCTATCTCATTTCTTGCCTGCAACACCCGCTCGACGGAATGAGCTCATACCAGCCGCCGATTGGTGGAGAGATTAGTTGCCTAGGATGCTTAGCCGAAGCTGTATCCGTTTGACAAATCCGTTATGACAATTAACTGTAGTTGTGGAAATACTTGCATAAGAAGATTTTTGGTTTTACACAATAGAAAGGGGTAAATGGGATCCAACTTCTATCCAACGGGCTGTCACGTACTTGACGTTCCTACCTACTTATGAGTTACAACTTGATCAACAGACAGTTAACAGCAGTTCTTCGTATGACTAAATAAAGCATTTCTACGCAATTGTTGTGCGCTCGAAAACAGCGTCCTCTGCGTCCTTTTGCCAGCGTCAAAACTTTCACTGAAATATTTTAAAGGCTTCATCCAGTGCACATATCTGAAGTTCATTTGATACGTTGCTGAAATGGGCAAGGGACGTCCCCGGCCGAAGGGCAGCTGAAAGTGAAGCTGGCGTAGGTCCAACCTGTACTGACAAGCCCCACTCTAAGCCACTTACCGCTAAGGCTATCATTACCAGGGCAATAGACTAAACCCCACCTGCCTGCGATGGCGGAGCTGCATGTCATCGGGCAAATCACCGGCGCTATCGGCTTCCCCAGCCAGAATCTTTTCTGCAAGGTACCGATGTAAATATGGACGGGCAGGCTTGTCCGCGCATCCTGCTTGTCCGTAAGGGCTTGACACGCATAGGGAACCCGTCCTCAGCCCACGGCTGTACCAGTTTACGTTGCTTTGCTGTACACGTCCCGGGTGTTGTCCTGCGGGTGCGATGCCGTTGCAGTGGGGAGTAACGGCAGGACGCAGCTGGGAGCTGCTGGAGGGGCTGGATTCGGGGCAAACGCAGCTGGACTTGGCGCCTGACGGTGAGCCCGTCGTGTGGGCGCACCCCCTGGACCTGCACTACGCCTGTCGCGGCCTGGCGGGCTGGCCCAAGCTCCATTTCCAAGTATGGAGCCAGGATATACATGGTCGCAACGATATTTGTGAGTCATTGGCCGTTGCAATAATGCATGAGGCAGCAAGCGCTGGCGCCGAGGGGAAGTTAGCTGCTACCTCGCTGGTTTTTGTCCTGGGATGGGAACGAAAAAAGGAATTGCCCAGCACCAGTACCGGCCCGGACTGGCATTGGTTCGGTTGAAAACATGTTGGTTCAGCTGCTGCCGCTGATGGAGCTGGCTCAGCTGCACCGGACGGTCGGGGGCTAGGAGAGGGCCAGTCGAGGCGGATGAGGTCAATCCAACCGCACCTCCACCCAGCGTGCGAAGCTGGCAGGTGTCTTGCACCCGGCGCTGGATAGCTGTCCTTTCGGTGATGTTGTGCGTTGCTCTTGCCATTCCTTGCGGAGGCTCGCTGAAACACCATCGCCCCATCCCGCCACGTCGTCGCTGTGCGTGCTGCAGGCGGCTATGGTTTCTGTCATGTTCCCACATCACCGGGGCAGTACGAGCTCGACTGTCCTACGTGGATACCTGAAGTACGGCAGGGGAGGCAGGGGACGCGGCACGAAAGGAATAGGAGGGGCCTTGCAGGGGAAAACCTGACTGACTGCGAAGGAATGTTTTCCCGTTTTCGACCCTGAGTCATTAACACCGTGACTGACCGTGTTGAAGTCTGTAGTGATGACGAAAACGGTTATGAACCCTAGCGACAGGCCCTGATGGGTGCTCGGCGCACACAGCACCCAACACGCACGGCTACCCTCGTAGAAGCTCCTCGTTCATTCCTTGAAGCTGCTTCAACGTTCTCGTCCTTTCAACTGTCCATTAAGCCCACCCGCCTGAATGGTCACGCACGGCGCAGGGTACTTTGGGTGAGCGCATCGCTGCATTCTTCCTGGGAGGCAATCCGCGGCTCAAGTACGAGGAGGTGGTGCATACTCCAGGCGACCGCTTCCGACTCAATACGGTGGCCAGTGGCGTTGTGCAGCTTCGGCTGGGGGTTCTGGTCAAGGACTTTGAGCGTAACCACGTGCAGTGCGGGTGACCGCAGGTGTCGACTGAGCAGTATGTCGTTTGTTACAGCGGACCCGAACCGGTCGAGTGCATCGGCACAACACTGTGGACCCTATAGCTGAGCAGACAGCTAAGTGACGTGCGTATGGACAAATGAGGTGGACGAATGCGGCGGCAACAGCAAATGGGGCTTTTGCGCCCAGTTCAGATTTCTTTGGTGGTATTGTTTTCATGTACGTTTTTCGTGCAAGGCAGGTAGTATGAAACCGGCGGATAGCACCTGCGTGGTGCTGGAGCACATGCCCTGTAGGAGCCAACCATGTACGATCCGCCTTTGTCTATATCCCGTTGCTGCATGTCGCGAGGGGATGAGCAACGTGGCCACATGCATGTGTCGCGGGTAAAGGTGTCCATAGGAAATGTGTGGACCCGAACGACTTCCAAAACTGGTTTGGAACGAGCTTGCAAGTTGACCAGAACAAGTGGACCATGGCCATGGCACGTCTTGTGAGACCAGCCGAGAGAAAGATGAATGCATGTATTCTGCAGCTACCCAGCTCTTGTGTGCGCCTTGAAAGTGGTAGGGGTCTGGGACGGTGCGGCAAAAGGGAGAAGAATTCGCTGCTCGCAGCAGCCCGTGCCGACGAGCGTTTTCCAGCAGATGCTAGAGGCCTTTCGCAGGCATAGGCGGCCAATTTCCTGTCCCTTGTCGCGGCCAGCGGCGTTGTGGAGAACGTGAAGATTGCCCTCGACAACGCCGGTTTCTGCATATCCGTTTCTGCATTTAGTCATCAACCTACGTTCGTTACGTGGCCAGGTGCGGCAACTTCAGTACCTGCACGCACGTAGCTTTCCTCTTGGCGTTTGGTACTATGCTGACACGTTTTAGTACAGCTACGTGCGGCAAGGTGTTGACTTCAGGCCTTGATGCATATCTTTTCTTTCGGTGGGTTGTGATCTGGTTGGTCAGTTCAATGCTTATTTTGTCAATTTTGGTATTCCAGGTGGTGGTTGCTGCGTGGCACAGACACGTGCACTGATAAGGCATATTTTTAAGACAATAACGGGGAACATTATGGCGCTTACCAATTAATATACAGGGATTCCGTCAGTTATCCCTTGGGGTAGCAAGTACCTACTCCTCATCTCCCTGTTTGACAGGGACAACGCTGCTGACCAACTTTAGCCCACCAACCTCCTACAGAATTTCACCATAGAACTGAGTTCAAGTCCCCTACAATCCCTCAAATTTAGACTACGTTCCCTGCGCTCCCCTCCCCCATTAGCTGCACCAAACCCCGCCTTATGGCAGTACCACAGCCCTAAGCATCATATGACAAGCAGCCTCAACAGCCACTAAAGTTGTCGCGATACCTCCCATGCATATAAACCTGACAATGGGGGCATACGTTTTCACACCACATAATGCACTCTCCGCTTGGTTCTTCACTTCCACCTGTTCCCCGCTTCCCCCTTTCTAATCCACTCGCGCCAGCAATTCGTAGTTGGTTTGTACGTCTGCGAGGAACACCTTGATGCGCATTACCGTGGCTTGCTGCCCACGTAGACTTTGCTCTACAGACTTGAAGTAGGTAAGTATCCATCGAATCACCTTGTCCACCTCTGCAAACAGCAAACAGCAAACAGCAGTGACACAAGCAGCCGCGATCGGGGGTGCAAGCAGTGTCACAGAGCCAGGCAGGGCTATTACGGGGCAGGGGTGCCTCCTTTGTGACTGTTGGCTGCCTTGAAACTCCTCCCTCTACTTCCTGCTTGGCACACAGTATAAAAAAACCCCAAGACATATGTCGGTCGCCTGTTCCTGTGAGATGGAATCAAGAGCCCCGACTCTGCACCGGTTACCCTCATAACCCCCTCCCCTTGTACGTTAACAATTTGAGTGCCGACGCTGCATGTCTGAGCTTTCCAACCCTTAACCCCATCTTTCCTCACCCTCGCCCTCCTCAACGTAAACGCTTGTCCACGTCACCATGTGAGCGCACTGCAGCACCGTCAGCAGCAGCCAGTAATCCACACCCCCTCCAGCCGCCCCCGCCGAGCCCCGGTCGCGCAACGACCGCCTCAGCCCATTCAGCAGCGCCTTGACGCCCTTGGCACAGTCCTTGCCCAACATTGTCTGGACCTGCCGGATGTCCACATGGAGCTGCCCCCGATGGCTGCCAGCCGGGCCGCCGCTGTTGCACGTCATTTCCTGACACGCGGCGTGCATGGGATTGTATGTAAGCCAACATGACGGTCATATCTCATTCGAAGGCGCATAGAGACTGGTACGTCAGGAGGAGACCTAGTACAGATTGTGGAAAAGAATCTCGTTCTCACCAGGAATCGCTTACGCTATGCGGACATATCCCACCCTATCCCAGCTGGCCACACCACCCTACCGGCGGCAACGTCTTCCGCAATAGCTGCAACATGGCGCACTGCTGCCAGGTACGCAGCCGTTCACTTAGGCCATGTACCCCCGAAATGACCCTGTAGGCAGCCCGGTGGGAGGGGCCCAGATCCGCCGCCGTCACCGCCGTGTCATCGCAGATGCGGCGCCACCGCGGCTCGTCCCAGGGCTGCATAAGGCCCTCTAGAGCAGCACACACGTCAGTATGCAGTCGCGACGACAGCCCCATGTCCAGCAGCATGCGGAGCAAGGCAGTGATCAGCCCCTTACAGGGAGCCTGGGGGACGGAAGAAGAAAGGTGCAGGTCTGTTAGCGTGTAATGTCAGTAAGAACCCATAAGTCACAGGACGGATTCGCTCCAAGATCTGGGCTCTGAATATAGAGTAAAAAAACGTGTGTTTACGAACTCCAACGACCGAGGCTCCCTCCCAGGTATATAATACTCGTTACTTAGGAGGCCGCAACGACTTCTGTCGTAGAGTGTCCCTTCGCACCACCTGACGGCTGATTAGACCGAGGTGTCTGTTCGGTTAGGGTAGGAACCCTGAATGAGTGTCAGCTCAAGGTATACATAGACTGCTCATAGATCAGTCTTAGTCAACTTATGTCTTAATCGCTTTGCGATTTAGCTCTGTAACGCTATAAGGCGCTACAACGAGGTCTTGCGCGCAGTGTCTAGTGCCTGACGTGTCTGCATGTGCTCACATGTGGATGGGTGAAAATTGTGAAGGTTGACAAACCCAAGGATGCTTTTGGCGGCTGGAACAGCGATGAGCCCTGACAAGCGTCAGAACGGAATAGCGCAAGGGGTAGGCATAGAAACTGATAGAAACGGAGTGGCAAGAAACCACAAAACGAAGCACAGCGCCGCGCCCTCGCCGCATGACATGGATACCCACCTCGCCCTGGCTTCGAAAGCCCGCGTCCACTCGGCCCCCTAGCTGCAACCTCGACAAATCTGCCAGCAACCTCAGGAGTCCCTGGAGGTTTGGCAGCCGGGCGAAACCCCACCCGCCTCGACCATCTCCGTCACTGCCTTTGCCGCCAGCGCTGCCCCCTTGCGGTGACGGTTCCTCATGAATCGCGCTGCGCTTCCTGCCGCCTCCACCATGACCTCTTGGCGGCTGGTAGCCCAGCATGGTCAGAGCAGTGAAAAAATCGGGAAGCTGCGGTACCCAGCCCATGTCTTTAACCGCACCAGATACACATGAAGTCCGTTGTGTTGTGTACACAACGGGGACATGAATCAAAGAACCCAAGTTCAGCATTAGAAGTAATGCTAGTTAGGTTAGAGCAAAGGAAGACGTACGGTTATTTTACAAGGGAATAAGAGAATTAGTGGGCGCCAGCGCCACATGCGTGCTCCTGTTCGTCTGTGTTGTGTTGTTCCGCACTCTTTTGTAATCGGCGTAAGGAACCTGCTAAGGAGCTTGGAGAGATGGAGAATAATCCGAGTAGAGCGACGGAACTCCATGCACGCACGTTGAACGTTATGGAGAAGGCGGGAAATGCGGTGGATCATTCCATTGCTTACCATTGTTAGCCAACGGATCTACGGATGTTTACATGGAACCCGCAAGAGCTATTCCCAGACACACAATGCCATGGACGCCGAAGCAAGACCTTCCGCCTAACCATTGAGGTCCACGACAACAGCGCAGCAGCAGCACCCGACACCCAAGCAGGTAGGCGTCGCTGCTGTTGCTGCTGCGCTGGCTACTAACCCAGACGCGGCAAGGAGCTGCCAAAGCATGCCGATTTATTCAGTTATTCGCTCACTCACCCGCCACATCTGCTGCGTTGTAGTACCGCACCAGCTGCTGGGATGCGCTGTGTGGGTTTTCGCCGTATGTCACAATGCTGAACAGCGTTTTCAATATCGGGCTCGCTGATGCGCCGTCGAAGGCCCCCGCGTGAGCGAATAACTGCCGTGTGACAATGAGCTCATTCATCAGTGCCATGGCTTCCGTGTGGTTGAGGGACGGGGGCAGGCCCAGCGGGGAGAGGTCCAGGACCGGCGTTGGCTGCGATTTGGGTCAGGCAACAGGCAATCACAACAAATGGACTGTATAATCGGGTAGCCTCGTATAATCGGGCTCCGTCCTGATGTCGATCAGGCAACAAGATGTGGGCAGGTGGGAGAGCTGATGGGGTTTTGCCAAGCAGCTACGCGTAACCCAGTTCAGTGCTTGGAGGAATGGCAAGCAAAAATTACGCACACGGCGAAGCCAGGGCTCCCGAGTCCTCCACTCAACTGGTGAAAGCTGGCTGAACCAATTATGCTTTCAAATGAACCTGGGATGTCGGTCGCCTGCGCGGCTGCGCGTCCAACCGAGCGCCAACCTGCTGTACGCGTTACGCCGTGCACCGGACTCTGTAGTCACCTGTGGCAGGGTTAGGTACAGCGGCTCCGAGACCTCCGGCTCTTTAACCTCCTCGGGAGCTTCGGCCGTAGGATTGACATCGTGATGTCGCTCCGTCTCCGCCTCCTCCCGGTCCTGCTGAGCCAGCTCGTCGTGCTTGCGAGCCAAATGCTCCTGGAGCTTCCGATTGGCCTCCCGCCGCTGCTGCTCATCCGTTTCACGTTTCTTGCGTGCCTGGACGACTCTCAGTACAGCACCGAGGGGATCGGGGAGGCTGCGGGCAGGGAGCGTCTGTGAAGGTTTAAGGTCAAAGGTTCAAGGGGTCCAAGCTTTAGACAGCAATATCAAATGTGCTTGCCGAACAGCGGCAGCACGAGCTGCAGAACACTCGGGAAAAGCGTAGCTAGAAGTAACGTGCAGCCGATATACCTGTCGAGGTTCTCGTTTATGAGGGCGAGGTTATATTCGGGCTTGCTTGCTTTGGCGAGCTCGTGGACCAAATCACGATATTCTACTGCCATGTTTGCCTTAGTTTTGCAAGTTGAAGGATCGAAAAAGTTAGAACTGGTTGCAGCCCCTGAATGTTATGACAAAAGACCACCGTGCGCTCCACGTTCTGGATATATCTCCGTTGTGTCTCAAAGATTCCCCAATTTCACGGAAGCAGTCATTCCTTCCCTTGCAGCGTTGCAGAATGATGCGATCGGCCCTTTGCAGTTCTCCCGCCAACCGACGTAGGGCCCACCGCACAGCGGTAAGTCGACAGTTAACAACCATGACACCCGAGCTCAACAATATTGAGCGAGATCCTCTGAAGACATGAGGGAGAAAGCTGCATCTTGCATGCTGTGTAGCAGTCGTTTCTTGGCAAGTGCTTTGCGGAGCTGGAATAGTTCCAGTGCCGCGCTCCAATGTACATCTACTGCGGTGGGTGATGCATGGTGTCGAAGCCCTCCTACTTCAACGCACCTGGGTATGTCGTTGATGAAGCCTCATCCTTGTTGTCTTGCTTTCTGATGCTCAGGCATTTAGTGCACAAGCGCAAGCTCAGGTAGATAGTACAGCATTATCGACATCAAGACGCGGAGATACCTCTTCCAGGGCGGCGTCTGGCGTGCGCGCGCCTGCCGGAGCCAAGCCCCAAACATCTTCCGCCCCTTTCCCTGAAGCGCGATCCCTCGCTTCGCCCTCCAGCTCCCCCCACCTGGCGTCCCCCACACCACGTGTTGCGTCCACGGCGGCCTTGGCAGCAGCATCCAGCCACTTGGCCCCCAGTCGCCTCCTCCAGTATGTTCAAACGATACTCCACCGTGAGCTATTGCTCAAGCTCGGGCCCCGCGGCTGGGACAGAGTGCCCCGTCTGGTCTCTGTAGAAGCCCGCGTCCGAGCCTCCGAAACCCATCTCAACAACGACGAGGTTGAAAAATGGGAACTGCTCCTATACTCTCTCGCCTTGGAAAACCTAACAGGCCGCCCTGCAACCTTCACACCACCCGCCAACTCCAAAAATTCCGCCACGCGCACCTCGGGCATATACGTGCGCCTAGACGCCACTACTGACCCCGACGCGACATACGGCTTTCTGGAAAAGCTTATACACGTAATCCTGCCCAATCAGGTAGGTTTCGGGGGCGTGCCGCCGCCGACGCTGGTGGCACCGTTGCCGGGCGACAAAGCCGCCGCCGCCAAAGCTGCCAAGGCGGCGGCGCTTGACCACCGGAAGGACCCTCTGCGGCCCCACGCCACGGAGTTTCGGGTCACGAACCTTCTACAGTACCCGGACTTCGAGCAAAACTTTTGGCTCTTCGAACAGCTCGGCGGGATGCGGGTACGGTTAGTTGTGGAGGGTGCTAACGCAGCGGATTGTGGGCTATTTTTGTCTGGATTGTCGCTGCCGATGTTGACGGGCGCAGCGGCGGAGGCAGCCTTGGCTGAGCTGGCGGCGGAGGCATTGCGGCGGAGTCGCACGGCAGCAGCATGATGAGCCTGGTGACGGCGAAAGCGGACGAGGGCTCTGGCGGCTGTAAGGCTTATTCTCTGGACTTGACGTATGGCAATCTTCATGTGCGCTGAACTTGTGGGCTTCACTCATGCATGCGTGAGAGAGCACTGCATATTTTGGATGGGACCTAAGGGTTGGGGGCCAGGATGCTGGAAAGAGGTAGTGCGTAGCAAGGGAAGTGGGTTAAGGCGGAAGGGCACTTCACCCAAGCAATTTGGGTCTGGACCCGAAAGGATGGGATGGCCAAATTCATGATGAACTAGGAGCAAAACATTTGGGGAATTTTCATTTGGGGAGTTTTGGGGGAGTTTTTAACGGACAATAGAGAAGACCCGCACAGTAAGCAGGGATGGGGAGGAGCAGCGAACTTGACAGCACCGTCGGGGACTGCGGCTGGCCAACTTGTAGCGTAGCTGGGTCCTGCCGGCCTGCCCTGTTAGGCCAGTCACTATTCCATGCCAGCTGTCCCGCCTTAACGGGGTTCTGGAGGACGGGAGCCGAGCTGACTCCGCGTCTGTGCCGGGAGATGCATCATCGCGAATGGCAAGTGGTGGTGATGGTAGCGCTGTGTGAGCACTGTTAACGGATACGGCTTACAGCACGGTGGGGGTGCCAAGATGCAGTGTACTAATGTTGATGTGACAGTTGCGACTTAGACAAAAGCAACGCCTCGCTGTCTGCCCTGCAGTATGCAAGGTATTATAGCGTACGGGATCGGCTGGGGATTTGGATGTGTCGACAGATTGCAGCCCTACCAGCCTACGACCTCGATAAGGTGTGGGGAAGTTGCAGGATAACGCAGCAGTTTCGCATGCGTGTTGACTTGTTTAGGGCATGTGTTCATTTACACACAATCCGAACACAGTGACGGATATTACGCATTGGGGTTGTGCCATGTGGCATGAGTAAGCCGTCGAGTCGGTATCTGGTCGACTGTTATCAGGCCCCTACCGCTGGAAGGGAAGAGGACACGTGGTAGCTTGGTTTCCTCTTGATACTACCCGCAGCGTGGAATGGTGCCGAGCTGCAGGCTGGACTAGAAGGGGAGGCCGAATTCGCACGCTGTGCACCTGGTGAAGCTGCAGTGCTCCGAAGCTATTTCTGTTAAGGGTAATCCCAACACTTGCGGCTGCCTCGACTGTGACGGTCGCAAAAGACGCACGTGGATTCCCTTGTTGACTGATCACGTGGCACGTTCAACGGACGGTTATGTTTCGTGGCCGGTACCATTTCCCGGCAGTGGCCGCTCATCGTGTCCTGTCATTGTGTGGGTTCACGAGTTCGCTGTTGGCAGCCCGACGATGGCGGCTGACCATATGCCGCGCGGCGTCAGGTGCTGCAACGACACCGCCGCCCATGCATAGGGCCCTGTGTTCGTGTATGCATTGGAAAGAGTGCAGGGGCTGCCCGCCAGCCTTCTATGCAATGTTAGGCTGCGAAATCCCTGCAATTGTCACCCCCATCACTCCCCACGGGAGTGAGGTCAGCTTTCTTTCCTATTCACCACGCACCCCTCGCCTTCCCGTATATATGTAGATCCGCTGTGGGAGCTGCGATGGCCGGCATACAGTAAGCTCACAGTAAGCTCACAGCATTTTGCTTACAAGCTCACGCAGTCGCGCATCAGACAGATACGTTTCCAGCAGCTCTTGCTTGGTAACCTGGTGTTCATGGGGAGAGAAGAAACAGCGGCAGCAGCAGGAGTAGGAGCAACAGTCAAGACAGCAACATCGGAAACACTGCTGGAACAATAAACAATAACAAAATGGGGATAATATAGGACAAGACGGAAAGTGGACCAATTGGAGAGCGTTTGCAAGGAAGTAGCAGCGCAGTGGGTGCAGAGTGGCGGATGCCGTGCCCCTTCCGCAACCCTCTCGCACACTATGCTAATGGCCTTAAGGACAGGCAGAAATCAATCAGGCTGGGTTAGGAAGACCGCGCCAGTAGATCAGCCAAGTACATCCGCGCACATGCACCCATTCGCGTCTACATATTGCTGTATACACAGTGCACACATAGTCGAGGCCAGGTTTGCTGTACGCACAAGCATATCCACAAAGACCCCGCATGAGGACATGCGCGACGTGAAACGCACCCAGGCGAACTCTTGTGCGGGTCCTCCCTCCACCAGCCGGATGTCCCATGGGTCATCCACTGTCTGAGCCAGCATGAAGAACGTCTTGATACCTGCGCACGCATCGACATCCCCACCCCCAAACGCCACCAGCAGCCAGCAGCACAGAGATGGACCGGGGGGAACATGGGAGGGAGGACATCAGGCCGGAGGACAACAGGACCTCGCGAGAAATACGGCCGGGGAAGAACACTGACGGGAAGGTATGCGTGTGGTTATCGATGCTATGTGTGCGTGAAGCGGTCAACGATCAGTGAGGGCAAAAGCGCCTCTTCTCCCGCCAACAAGAGGCCCCTGAGACCAAAGGAAGTCACCGCAGCCGGCGGGGGCTACATATGGCGAGGCCGCCAGCTGGCATGCTGTCGCCCTGAGGAAACCATGGGCAGCTGCTGCTGCTGCCGCCGCTGCTGCCGTTTCTGCTGTAAAACAAATCCGACATCGGGAGCTTAACAAACACCAGCCTGTACGCGGGCCAGGGCCCCAGCCATAAGCAACGGGGATAGCCCACTAAAGCACCCAGCCAGCTAGCCAGCCAACAAATTCAAACACACCTCTGCGAGGCCCCACAAGGTGGGCCATGGGCGCCTTGCCCACAAAGAACACCGGGTGAGAGCGACCAATGACGGCGTGGAGTGCGCGGTGAGCGGTTTCACTGCAGCCGGAAAAAGGGGCAACAGAGAGGGAGTAATATGACATAGGCGCGACAGGTGTGTGGCGGCAGGGCAAGGACGTGCACGGCACAACACCATCACACACACAGACACACGCATATGCACACACAAGCACCTGATGCTCTCCTCGCCCGTGTTGGCCGCTAAAGGGAAAGCCCAAGATCCTCCGCCATGGCCCTCGCTACTGCTGCTACTACTGCTCCCGCTCCCTCCACGCCCTCCACGGAGGTCCTCGAGAGCGCCTCCTGAAGAGCCGGGCCCCGGGGGCGAAGACCCTTCTCCAGCCTGCCGCTGGCCCAGCTGTTGCGGGTGCTGCTGGTGGTCCCCTCTGTTGGTGTTGCGCACCACCAGGTACAGCCCCTCGCTCAGGCGCCGCCGCATGGACCTGTGCTCCGAGCCGCCCCACCAGACGAGATGACCACCGTGATCAGGGGGCCCCGACGCGGGAGAAAGTGCGTTAGCAGGCAGCTGCACGCACGAGGAGATCTCCGCGAAACTCAGGAACGATGCATGTACGAATGTGTGTGCGTGTGTGGAGAACTGAAGCTGCAGCTCGGGTCGTTAGATTTGGGTTACGCTGCCGGAGAGCTTGTCACGTGGGCTGAATCCTACTGAGCTTAGACGCGAAAGTAGCGCTGGAAATGTCACACGAATTGCTGGGATATGTTTGTCTGTCTGTCTGTCTGTTTGTTTGTATAATTATGTTCACAGGTCGTGAAGAAGCTGAAAAACAACCAGCCAAGGGGCCCACACCCAGCACAACGAGTACCTGACATCTCCGGAGTCGTCCGCCGATGTGAGGGAGGGCACAGGACTGAAGGTCCGCTGCAGCCGGAGGAAGAGGAGAGGGAGGAGACACGCGTCGAATGCAAAAGAGATGGCATGGCATCGGCGCCGTCAGGATAAGGCGAAGGGTTCAGTGGGTTAAGAGGGCACATGGAGGGCCTTACAGCGGGCCTCCGCCTTACATGCTGCTGCTGTTGCTGCTGCTGCACACGTCGTCTTGCCGACACGACACCAGGACCAGAGGGCCTTTGGGCCCGCCGGTCTCCATCGTTCAAATTGCAAGGAGCACAGGTAGGGGAACTAGCAGGTAGGCAGACAGCGCCCCACGCGCACATGTAAGCTAACGTGCTAAGACATTGTTTAGGCCGATATTACCACGCAGGGAAAGAAAGGCCACGTACACATGTAAAGCTTTACACAGCAACCGCGCCCTGCGCTAAGATGCGAAACAAGGGGCGAAGTTGCTGTTGGATGCGGCTAGCGTGGCCAGGTCCGTACCAGGTCCTGTTTCTCCTGCTTGCTGCCCATATCTCCCCGGCCCTTGGTGGCCTGCGGACGGACGGGAGGGAAGCCCACCAGGAGGGATAGGGCACGATTCTTACATAACGCATCGGGGCAGGGTATCACACGGACCGATGATGAAGGTGAAGTCATCCAGCCACAGGGGAGCCGTTTTGCATGTGTGAGGGTGTAAGGAGCCAAACCAGGTGGTCTGAGGCGATGCAGCTGACGTGAACGAAGAGAACGCTGTGTTGTGACAGTTCATGGCATTATGTGTTCTCATCGAAGTACTGCTGATCATTGTGGTGGGGAGAAAGGGACACTGGTGCGCCGTGGCGGAGTTTGACTGGTACGCAGTTGAAGGTATGGAGCTGGCGGTCGCCGGGAATATGGGAGAAGCATAGGCGGCAGTCGCAGCCGTCGCCACGGCCGCTGCCAGCCCTTACCGCTTCCGGATAGTCTTTCAGCGTCCCCGATTCTAGGCCTCGTTGTCGGGACCATATCAGGTGTTGTGCGTGGTGAGGCGGCACGGCCGGTCTTAATATCGGCAGCCGCTGCAGCACACAAGCTGCAAAGATAAGTGCATCGGCATTGCTAGACGAAGCTTCTAGCTCCGTAATCTGCGTGGCGTATGCCTGCAGATCACGGACACACCGCAAAAGATGGCGTTCATCCGTTTCCTGCTTGCTGCGATGATATTTGATGTCGCTTGCTTACCCTGCAAGATTGCCAGCATCCACTATAACCATTTAAGGAAAACGCACTACGCCCAAATCGCTCAAGTAGTTGGGAACAGCGCATCACGCTGAGGGTACACGATAGATGACTTGGAAATTGCTATGCGAGGCTGTTAATGCGGCAGCGCAGGCATATAGCACCTCAAACAAAGTTATAAACATGTAAGATATATACCATATAATCGACACCACACATTACAAGTGTGCTGCAACCTCGTTGACAAATGCCGTACGTTTCATTCAGAACTCTCTTCAGTGGTGTACAGTATGGCCCTTCGCTGGCACGCACAGGGCGTCCCTTCCATAGCCCGGCATGGCGCCGTTGAATTTGCATTTCGCACGCATAAAGGGACACCCAGGTTTCCATCCAGTGATTCCCTTCTGCAATCCAAACCCATCCGCACACAGTCGATTGAGAGAGACCCCAGTCGATTGAATGAAACCCCCAGGTAGTGCGCTGCATATTTACTGATTTAAGTATGCCAATCCTGATGAGTCCGTTTGTGCCGCCTTGCTTGTGAAGGCTTGTGGTCATGCTGGCGGCTTGCTGGAGACCTTGTTTTGCAGCTGCAGCGGCCGCCTCGCGCTTAGTTGCTGTGCAGGCAACGAAAGCTTCGCTTTGTAAAAGACTGCTAAGAATTCAAGTGATTAAAAGCATATCATTTACAGGGGCGTCTAAGCATACATGTCCGGAATGTACGGAACTGTACGAGACTCATTATCACGTGGTATTTGCAAAGCGATAGAGGCAAGACATGCAAGACACGTAATGTCTTTGTCCTCTTCCAGCATCTCTAATCCCTAGTCCGCCTCCTCCTCAACAGGTTAATGCCCCAGCATTTCCAGCGATGCGCCCTGATTCCCAGCTCAAGAATTCCTATCCTGCCAAGTCCAAAACACCAGACTACAACAGTAAAGGGCCTGGCCGCCAACAGGTGGGTGCACAACACGTCTCATAAAACCCAGTCAATGACGCCACTCGAAAGAGACGACATCATTAACAATGCACTATACACTATACAGCTGGAACCGGCAACAGCAGAAAAACCCTCCAAAATTCCAGACATCATTAATAAACTCCTCTCCTGCACTTGTTTTCTTTTTCATACATACATACATACATACATACATACATACGTACACACAGAGGCACACTCAAAAACAGGTGCTACAGGCGCTACATGCAGTTGCAGCAACCCCAGACACGATGCAACATCTCCCACGTGACCCAGGCCCCCTAGTCCCGCGGCATTCCTCACACACCCTAAAACCCTGCTTACCCTCAGATATCCGACCCTCGAAAGCCCACCCACACAACCCGGCGGTAGAACCCGCACAACCCGGCACTCACTGATCTTCTTCCTCCTGCCTAATCCCAGCGTTCGTCCTCAAGACCCCATACAGCCTCCGTCTCCACGCCCTGCCACACAACCAAGGTCGGCTCGTGTGTGCCACAGCAGCACCGCATGCGACCACCGCAGCACAGCTCTCTCCCCAATCCCCCCACCTTTCCCCCAACCGTCATCTCTTTCAATAATATTCACACCTATATTCACTGCCATAGACCGGCGTCTCCTTTCCTTCCCCTAATCCTCCTACTCGACCAACTTCATGTTTATCATCATCATGATGACCACCTTGGCTCACCTGATGTCCGAATCACCAGGCCAGAGCTGCCATCAGGCTAATCAACAAGGCTACCGCAGCCGCCGCCGGGCCCTCAGCTTTTTTCCCGCCAAGCCCTCTGCTGCCGAGAGAGCAGCTTTACCCCAACAGCTCTAACAGCCTTACAGCATATTCAAGTCTAATACGTTCTACTAAACGATCTAGTCCCTAACAAAGGTCAAAAGACCATCACGCGAATGAATCCCATGCACGCTCCGTTCTCCCATGCCCGCGTTTTTGCTTGGAGGCACCAGCCCCTACCAACCATACACAATCAACCACCAAACCACTATTACAACCACCAAACCGCTATTACAACCACCACAACCACCACCAGCAAGGTTAAGACAATGCAAGGGAGGATACAGCGGCGCATCGCAACCATAAATATAACATGGTGTACCCGTCCTTTCTTGCATGCGGGCACCCCGCGGCCGACACTGCGACGTCTACATATGCTAAATCTATGCAGGTGTAAAACGTGTGGGTGGAATCATACGTGATGCAGGCGGATGGCGAGGTGAGAAATGAAGGGAGCGGTAAAACCCTAATTCATCGATGCTCACACAAAACCTAAACATAGGCAGGCAGGCTGGAGGGCTGCGTGCGAGGAGATTGACTTGAGAGGAGAGTACGACAACATAAAACACACACACGCTGCCAGCCTACCCGGTGCCCGTCCGGTTCGGGCCCCCAAAGGGCCGCCAGCAAGGTGCCCTGGAAGGCAATCGATGAACCCCTAGCCATGTGGAATTCTGCCCAACAAGCCCAACAGGAGCAGCAGCAGGAGCAGCAACTGAGACCCACCATCATGTGATGTGCCTGCACTCGCCACGCCGGTGGCAAAATACTTCACTTTATCGCTGTCGGCCCCCCGCGGCACCTCTTCATACTGGTTGGCGCGCTAATATACGCAAGCAAATATGCACAACGATTGTGTAAACAGACATATCCTAAAACACCAACACGACGCGCACACAACACAGCTATCTTCGCATTACAGCGTTGTTCCCTTACAACATACAGTAACACAAACATACAAACATACAACGCATGCATATGAACACACACGGCGCGTTGCCCCGGGTATTTTCCTCAACCTATCAGCGTCAGATATGTCATTTAATTAAAATCGAGGAAAAGGAATCAGAGAAAATCGGAAGGCTGGCTGCTAAACTGTCAAACTCGCCCGCCCCACATGCCCCCCAGCAAGCGTAACGCCACTACGCCACCCCCACGCATCTCTCCCCCACGCCCCAGAAACCAGCTCCAAAACCAAACCCGCATCGTGCAAAATAGCATTCTCCAAGGAAGGAGTATATAGCTTTTCCCTGCCGCACCGTTTCAAGTCATGTTCAGGAAGGGCGCGACTCAGAAACTCATCCTGGTGACATGGCTGCGGCTGCGGTATCGCTGCCAGTTGACGGCAATCGGTTGCGCCACCCCGCTGTGTGTGGCCTCCGTACGAGCTCGACCCTCCGCATCCACCGACGTCAAGAGGGGCATGCGGAGAACCCACTTGCCGTTACTGGCGGCGGTTGTGGTGGTGGTGGTGCTGCTGCCACCACCACCGCCTGCGGCGGCAGCCTGGAACGGCGCGGCCGCACCGCAATATAGCTGTTGTCGGCCATGTGGCGGTAACATCGTCCCAGCGGAGAAAAACACGGCGCGCGGGCGCGCGGGGAGGGGGGGGGTGAGGAGGAGGAGGCGGAAGAAGGCACTGAACATTGGAGCGCATCGAGGATACACATGCGACATGTAAAGAGTGGCAGGTGGCAAAGGGCAATGTATGCCTCCAACATGGCCGTGTCATGCGTCATTGACTTGCTTAGTCATGGGTATCCATTCCTAATACACCCCCCCCGCCCGCCACAAATCCGTCTCGCCCCGCAATCACATCCCACCAGATTCCTCCTGGCGTTTTGTTCCACTTGCCAAGCCTTTTAAACCTTATCAAACCCGGCCCGCACCTCGCTCCCACCTGAGGCCGCTGTGCACCTCCTCCTCCTCCTCCTCCTCCCCGGGCAGTCCCCCATAGCCCCGCACGTGGCATGGAATGTGCCTGACCTCCTCCTCCTCCACATCCGCATGCCCCGTGCACACCCTGACTGCCGGCACCGCCACGGTGATGCCGGTGCCAGTTCCAGTTCCAGTTCCAATGGCCGCTGTGGTGGTGGCTGTGATGCTGCTGCCCCGGCAAGAGGACCTCTTGAAGGATGTCCACGCGGTGGTGCGGGTGTGGGTGAGGAGGGTGCGGGGCATGGACGTGGTAGTGATCGTGGCCCGGGCTGTTGGTGTCCCGGGGGGGCCCCCGGCTGGCAGCTGAACGGAGCAGGAGACTCGAAGACAGCGACAGGGTTTCACCCAGTGTACGACCCAAACTGCCCAACCGCTCCAGGGTGCGCTCCTTGAGACTGCCGAACTTGTGCATCAGGTTATCCGGCTCGTACGAGAGCATCTGAATTAATATTGAGATGGGCAGTCGAGGGGGGGTATCGAGCGGTTTTAGTCCATTGCCGTACAACGGTGGTTGTCATTGCAAGGCCAGTTGTAGGTGCTGCTGGTGTGTTCGGTACTTGAGTGGTGAGTTATGGTGCGGCCGCTGTGTGTGCGTGTGCGTGCGCGTGCGTGTGGAAATGGCCGATACGGATAACTCCAGCTAGTGTTGAAGAGCTATTCAGGGCACGAAGGTGGGAGGGAGTGCTACATTAAAGAATCGCAAATTCAAATGCACATGGAAAGTAGAGAGGAATACATATTTGCATATACATTTACGCACATAGGCGGCAACGGCGCACCTGCAGTGCTTCCTCTGCCTCACGCTCCTCCGCCCGCATCCGGGCTCGCTGATACAAACTCAGCCCCTCCTCTCCTTCCCCACCGCCGCCGCCGCCCGCCGCGGGCCCCCTCTGCGCCTCCTCCACCCGCCAAAACCCGCCCGCCAAGATGCGCTCCACCTCGCTCAAGGGGACGTCGGCCTCGGGGCGAGGCGGTACCACCAGGCGCAGTGGGCCACCGGGGCAAAGTGGCTGGGCCGCCTGAGGCGCCGGGGCCGGCGCCGCCGATGCCTGAGGCTGCAATTTTCGTTGCTGCTGCTGCTGCTGCTGTTGTTGATTTTGTTGTTGTTGTTGTTGTTGTTGTTGTTGTTGTTGTGCTGCGTTCGGGGGTAGAAAGCTCCGGCGCGGTGCGGCTGCGGAGCCGGTGACGGTGACGGTCGCAGCTGCAGTCGCGGCCAGCCCCGCCAGCCCCGCGCGGGGGAACAAGGGACCATCCATGTCAAACCACACCCGACGAGTCATGGTCCGAAACCCGTGAGGCCTGCCGTACAGTGTAAAGAGGCTGACGTCCGGTAGATCTGGAATGGGCGGGAACTGCAGACACAGACAAACAGGCAGACAGACAGACATGGCATAAGGTAAGTTCCCTGAAACGCAGGAATGAAGGCATGGCCCACGCGCACCTTCCTCCTAGATCTGTTATGTCAACAAGCTCATATATATGTACGGATAGCCGTACAACGACACGGCAAATAAGATTACTACACAGATCAGCATATGACTCACTTACACACATGTACATACGAAACCCCGGGCCCCGCCTCCCCCCACACCTCTCGGACTCCCGAGCAGGTGTCCGTCTTCCGCTCGCCAGGTGGCCGCAACCTCCAGACGATGAGACGCAGGTAGAGGCGGCGGACTCTGAAGCCCCTCCAACCCGCCTGGATGAGAGTCGCAGCGTGATGCCTAGGATGGGGGTTGGCGTTGGGAGGGTAGATCAAATTGAGAAGCAAATTGAGCAGCAAATTGAGCAGCTCTGGCAGCAACATGTGGTCTCCCGCAGAGCCCCCATCATGGTTCCCCTCAAGTCTCTCCCCTTAATGAAAGGTACCATATTAGACGTGTGATGTACGGCACCATACTGTACTGCATTTCGCTGTACGGCAATGCATGATACCCTGGATGATACCCATGGACTTCAAGATAGGGTGCAGCTTGGCGGTCAGCATGGTAGCAGCCGTACATGCGGCATTCGTGTACGGGAGAGGCGCACCTCTGAGCCGCAGATATTTGGGACGTCATCGCGGATGCCTTGACGCCGTACGGCGGTCGCCGTTGCGCCGTGATGGAGCCAACGCCGTTGCCGCTGACCCTTTCGCTGCCGCCGCCGCTGCTGCTTCGATTGCTGGGAAGGGAAATGGGCAGTGGCTGTGGGGAAGACGGCCGCCAAGGTGCCAGCGCCGTGAGGGCTGTCGTGTTGCCGCAGCTGGTGTCCGTTTCCGCGGGGGCGGCACCGTCGCCAGAGCCGCCGCGCGATGCTGCCCGTGTCCCCAGCGGCTGCGGTATAGCGGCGGCTGCGGCGGCAGACCCAGATGCTGAAACCGCGGCGATACGACATCCCCACCCGCTGCAGCACAGAGGAGGTGAGGTTGCTGCTACTGCTGCTATTCCTGCCGCAGCCGTGGGTTGGGATGTCGGCACATAAAGGTGCGCCTGGTGGCGAGTGTCAAGGTCTGTCGTCTCGTCGCCATGCCTGGAAAGATCATCACCATCACAGCCATCACCACCATCATCGTTATCCGCCTTCCACCCTAGACCAAAGCCGCTGATGCCGTCGTGGAGATCTTCGCCGCAGTTACAGTGGTTACCGTTGTTACCGTTGTTACCGTTGTTAGAGGGCACTGAAAGGCCGTTGCCACTGGCGAGGTAACTGACTTTAGGAAGGGATGAAGCCTGTCGGATTACCGGGCAGGATCCCAGCCGGGGGCGGGCTGTGTCGGGGGCAACACCGCGGCTGTGCCCGCTTGAGTAGTAGATGGTGTGTTCACCACCGCGGCAACACGGCAGCAGGGCAGCTCCCGGCGGGGCCGACAGCGTTGCAGCTACGCCTGGGCTTGCTGAAGGTGTAGACGGAGCGTCAGAAGCCAGAGCTTGTTGGGAAGCAAAAGCGGCGCTTCTCGCCCAGAGGAGCGTCGAATCCAACGGAAGCGGTGACTGACTGTGTGCCACCGTAGCGGCCACCGACATTACGGGACTGGGTTCTTACACAGATCAATAGGTTGCCGGTAGCCGGAGGCTTGTGCGCGTTCAGAGAAGCGCGACTGTGTGAGTGCCACGTGCAAGCTCACGATTTGCACGGAAGCGTTTTACTTGAGATTAAAATGAGATATGCCTACATTGTGATAATGTAAGACCTTATAGGGCAGCCGCCAGCCGTTTAAGCGGCTCTAACAAGTTGGCAGGGCTAGTAATTGGGAACGAAAAGAGGATAGAGTTGCGATTGTGAACGACCTTCGATTTAAGTTATATACCCTGTGGCCCATGGAATTCTTCGGGACGGCAATCTCTTTGGTTTGTCGAGAGCCACCTGATGGGACAGTTGTACAACTGTTCGGCTGTCATGTCAGAGCAACTAAAACTATCAAACTATTGAACTCAGCTTGCCATCCTTAAAATAAAACAAATCGAAACTAAATTTTTTACGTCTCGAGGGCCGCAAAAGAGCAGCAGAACATTGAGCTGGTCTTGCATTCACAGAACGGCGGAAGTCTGTTATTCCAGATGAGCACTGGAGTAGGGCTTACATAAAACGTATTGCACGGGCTGTCAAATGTAAGAAATAATCTAAATTCCATAGCGATAAAGGCGAGTGCGGACCCGTACCTGTGTCGGTTTAAGATGCTGGACACCGTACCGTTTTGCTTGTGGTAGCGTGAAGATTGGCCCCCTCGATCAACATCCTCCAGACCTGAGGTCTGTTGCTAAAAATAAAATGTTTCTTGATTTGGTTCCAGGCCGGCGCTGTTTGCCGCCGTTGCATCACTTTCTCTATGCGTGAGCATGCGTGAGGCCAGCACAAAGGAAAGCATATTAAACGGCAGAAGCTGCAAACAACCACCTTTCGCTGCTGATCACACATCACCTGAAACCTTGTGCCAATTGCGTTGCCTAAGCTACAGCTCTGTTGCTATCGCACCCGTACTTGAAACACGTCCGTCTGAAGTCCCTTAAAGCGCCTTCCTCGCTCTGAGCCTTGCTCACCACGCGTGTCGGCTCAAATCACTCTTTGGAGTTGCAAACTTACTCGGGTGACGTCCATGGTGCTGGTGACGTCCGTGGTGCGGGTGACGTCCGTGGCGAGACTGGCTGTGACGTCAGTGTTAGGGCGATGCAAATACAAGGCCTCAACCACATCTTGGTTTTCCGTGTGTGAATGACCGCGCGGCACTCACGCCAGAAACAAATGCTCAGTCGCGGCCCTCATGGCCCGGGTACTATGTCTTGACGCGGCGTCGTACGGCCGGATACTGATTTTACATGGCAGAGGCCGCGAACAATACTTCAGGGACTTTCTGAAACCATCAGTTTTCTTGTCTTGGTTACCTCCTCTTGAGCTCTAGGCTGAGCGCTTGTCAGGGCGCGGCCAAGATCAGCCTGCATGCTTCCCGTGTTTTCGGTGCTTTCCTTGCACGCGGGTTTGAACGTTCCTCCTCCTGCTCATCATCAATTACTGGTCTCTGTGGCCAAGCAAGCAATCAGGTGCGCTGCCCCTTGCCGGTGAATATGGTGGAAGCTGTGAACAGTGATGTCAAGGGAGGGAAAGAATAGCAACGGGGATCTTATGATAACTCCCCTATCATCGTGGCCACTCTAATCGTTATTTCCAACTTCCCTCTTTCTCCATGGGTTAGCCGGGCGCGTGAATGGGAGGGACGTGTGCGGAGAGGCACTTTCCCCCAATGCTTGCTTCATGTTGTACGACGACAACAGCCCTCTTTCAAAAACCCGTGGCCGATGCACGAACTGCCAGGCTATAGTCAACTCGAAAAAGCGCCATGACCCCTTTTGTTGCCGCTTGATTAACACGCATCGAATCGGCTGTATGTGAGTATGTACAGTAAGCACAAAATGTGAATCCAGCCCCCTCCCTACGCTGCCTGAGTTTCCATTCCCATCTTTTCACCTGTACGGCAAAAGTACGGCACGCTAAATTCCAAAGTGGGGGGTTGCATTCTGGACAGGAAACGTGATATAGGCCATGGTTGACATGGCCATGGGTGGGAAGGGCGGGAAAAAACCCTGGTGTGGCAACGCGGTTTTCTCCCTGGATGACACTACCACGGACTCGCTGCCAGGGTTCTGCATGCTTCAGGTTTGACAACGTCGAACAAGGATCTTTAATGCACGAAAATGGAAAGGGGCATTTCGGCGCCTGGCCAAGCTATGGGCAGCTGATGGGCAGCGAGCAGTCTGTGACGCTGTGTAACGAAGGGGGTTTATAAGCACCCCGTCACCCGGGGGTTTACAAGCCCTCTGCCACTGGAGGGACTCAACGCGTTCTCCAATAGGATGAGTTCATACTTGGCGCGAAGCAGTACGTGCTTGCAGGAACGCGAACCGTCACCCCGGAAGACCAACAGTCGTCGCTACGATCGTACCTTCCCACCATGACTTGGGAAGTCATCACAACTCGTTATCAAGTTCATTAGACGAGGGACAGAGTTATTAGACCTCCACTTTAATTGCAGTGAAGGCAAAACGGGTTGCTTTCGCAAATGTCAACGTTTGCTCCCCAGGATCAACGCATATATGTTTCCGATAAAGTGCTGAAGGGAAGCGGTTTCGACTTCGGCGCAACGGCTAGGTTTGCGTCCCGTGTCACAAATTACGCTAAGCGAAGTGACTGGAAACAATGAGTTCACCCCTTGGACCGTTGTAGCTAAGAGCAGAGAGTATGACAGTTGCTGAAAAGGAGGTGTGCCATGCTAGAGGCCGACGTGGGCACAAGTAGGCTCGTACTTCAAGCGTTTCCACGCACGTATTCTCTCGAAGAGTCTCCAACAATATTGCATTACCATTGCTAGTTTTGACTAAGTAAATGCACAATTGTAATATTGATGAGTATATGCATCTGACCGGCGCTAAAGTATGATTCCCGCCTCAACGCCGTGCGTTGGCACACGGCGATACTCTTTATACCCTTGCGGTCGCACACCATGGGTAGGATGTAGTGAGTCGTGGAAGAGAGGTTTGGCCTGCCGTGTGGTGGCCCCGCCTGAAGCTCCTGGCAGGCGACCTGTCGATGTGTCACAATCCCCGTCTCCGGACGCTCCCTCGGGCGGCTTCTGGTCCAGCACAACAACCTTTGCCTCACAGCTTCTCAGCCACTTTCGGGTCCCGGCCTTTGCTGCGGCTTCACCAGATGCGGTGCGTCCGGAAAGACCTACGCACTGCTGACAAAGATGGTGTTTAGGCCTAGCGCACCAGTACCGCCAAGCAGTCAGGTCAAGCCCCACGATTTAGATTGCTGCTTGCATTACGCCCTGCAATATGGCGCAGGTGCTGCGAGAGGCCTCCACGAAGGAGCGCGAGCTGCAGAATGCTAAGGCGCCCCTAGACGTTAGCGCGTTCCTTTCGCCTGTCGGCGTTTGGGAGCTCAAGCACATTCGCAAACTGGCTCACCTAACCTCGCTGACCTATTACATGCACCTGGTCACGGTGAGGTCTTGCTAGGTCTCGATTGCTGGGTGCCGAACAGCTGCCACGCCAGAGCATGCGGCTTACGACGACTAAACCACCAACCCCGTTCTCTGACAGCCATGTCCTCCCTGCACTGTCGAAGTCGGGGCTTAAAGACGCCCCCCGTCTTTTCCAGCGGGATAGCAACGCTGCTTGCCCCTTTCACTTAACCCGGAACAGAGTTGGAAAGCTGTGCGCGCACGTATCATTGCATGTATTGCCCCGGGAGCTAGGCTGGTGCCTCGCTTCCCCGTGCGCCCTCCTCCGCACAGCCTAATGGCCGTAGACCCCAACCGCCGCCCACTTCCTATCGAAGAGGCCAGCTCACAGGCCCTTTCAGGCCTGCCTGAGACTCCTTTACGCAAGTATTAAACTTCTCACCACACTCGCCACCACCAAACCCACATCCCCCATGCCGTCTACTCACTCAAGCCCCCACCTCACAGAGATCAGCTGTAAATTCCCCTTCTGCTTTCTCGACTCTACCCTTTGCTGTTGATAGCTTCCTGTGGCCTATGGGGCTAAGAGAAGCAACCACAATGCGAGCCTTTGTGATGCATGATGTGTATCGCACCTGAAATGCGCGTCCTTTTTTGCCATGTAGCCGCAAGGTTTGAGTCATTCGGGTAGTTCCTAAATCCCACGGACCGTTTTTTCGTTGCGTTCTTTTGTACGCAGCCTCGAAGGCTGATGCGGAGTCACAGGCTGGAGCTGGTGACCACGTCACATGCCTGCGAGATAAGGCCATACGAGCACAATAAAACCGCAGAGGAGGTTGGCGCTGACGGAGATGGCATGGCGGTTTCCGTACATGAGGCGCGGGAGGTGTACCAGGCCCTGAAGCGGGATGGTGGGGCTTCGGCGGCTGCGGGTGCGCTGACGGAGACCGGATTGCGGGGTACGGGCGCAGCAGGCTCGTCCAATATCGTAACGCTTCCAGGGGTTGTGGCGTACCAGGTGGTGTCGGTGCCGCAGGCGGCGACGACGGCGGCGCAGCTGCCGACGAATGGTAGCGGTCCTGCTCGGCCTATGCCGCCGTTGCTGTCGGCGCCAGCGGCAGGGCCGGGGCAGGTATCGACGGCGGGTCCGCAGCAGCCATCGCAGCCGCCACCGCCGCTGGGGCCGCCGACAGCTCTGCCGCGCATGCTGCGCACCCCTGCGGAGGTAGTGGCGGCGAAGCTGGCGGAGGCGGCACAAGCGGCGACGACTGCGGCGAGTCCGCTGGCATCGGCTGCGGCCGAAAGCCTCTACGCGGGGCTAGCGTCTCTTCCCATTGGAAGCGCCTTAGTGGGTGCGAACAACCGGGCAAGCAATGCGCTTCTGTCATCGGCAACGCCGCCGTCGTCGGGCTCAACAGCTTTCGGTGCCGCGACATCATCGCCTGACGGCGGCATCACTGCAGCGCCGCTGGCAGTGGACGGTGCCGGCGGCTACGAGGGTCGTAAGGCGACGGCGGCGTCGATTGCCGCCTTGGCCTCCGACCAGTTCCGCCAACAGACGATCCGTGGCATGATGGGTTTCGGGGCGGGCCGCTCCGGCGGCGGCAGCAGCGGCATGGCGCCGGTAACCGCTAACGGGCTGCTGACACCGGCGACGGCTACCGCGGCCGCAACGGCCCCAGCCGACGCCGCCACCGCCGCCGTCACCACTACCCCTTCCTCCTCCTCCTCCTCCCCGGTACCCCTCAACAGCGCTCCGTTCGCATGCCCGTCTGAGTGGTTTGTGGTGGACGAGCCAGCTACCAACACACGCATCTTCGTCATCCAGGGCTCAGACACCTTGGACCATTGGAAGCTCAACCTGACGTTCGACCCGGTCACTTTTGAAGACCCCTCCCTCGGCGTCAAGGTATGCTCATGGCTCTTGCGTGTGGGTGGTTGTGGTTGTTACAGCGGGCGCCAGACTCGTGAAGAGTATAGCCAGCGGGCCAGCGGGCCGTGCACTGCTGGCTCCTGTGTGTGTCTTCTGGTGGGATCTGGGTGGGGGTGTCACAGACACATGACACATTTATATAATAGACACTGTTTGCATGAAGTATAACAGATGTGAGCTTTCATTACTCTGGGATTAGGAACAAGTACAGGAGGAGGAAAGTAGCGCTAAGCTGGGAATGGAGACTTGGAAACAAAACAAGTGGAGAGAGTTGGTGTCTTGGCGCTGAAAGGACGGAAGGGGTGAGCTTCCTTGCGTCCCTGCTTGTGGGGATCTCGCAGGTTCACCGGGGAGTGTACGAAGCAGCGCTCGTACTGTACGACCGGTTCCTACCGCTGGTGTACGAGCATCTGGAGTCGTCACCCTTTTCCAAAATCGCCTTCACGGTGAGAGGTTTTTAGTTTGTCTTCGAACATGGTGGTGTGCAGGACAAGGCTCAAGAAACGCACATACATACACGCACTGCGGCTGGCCTTATTACGACTGGCTCTGACATCACTCTTCCAAATAACATTTCTTTCAAATTCAATTCACGCTACGTCGTCCAGTTACACCCTGCTATATAGTTTTATTGGAAATTTTTTGGAAGACGCATCTTTGGCGACTACGAAGAGCTCCACTTCCCCCGGTAAAGGTATTCGTGTACCCCGTTGCCATTTCCCCCTCGTCGCGGCCCATGTGAATCCGGGCCGGAAATGATCATTTCACACACGGCCTTGATTGCCTATGGGAGATAGCTGCTGATGAATGGGGCGAGAGGAGGGCTGAGGGGGTCGGGTAGTTGGCGAAGCGCACGTCTGCGCGTGCGCGACACGCGTTGTGTTTCTCAGTGGTGGCGGTGGTGGTGATTGAGCTCCTGCTGTCCCCCGCAGGGTCACTCCATCGGCGGCAGTCTGGCCACCCTCCTAATGATCATGTACCGCCACCGGGGGGTGCTGCCGCCGCACTCCATCGGCACGGTCTACACCTTTGGAGCCCCCGCCGTGTTTTGCCAGACCCACTCGCACTCCCACGCCCAGGCCCAGGCCAGCAACCAGTCCAACGTCCACAACTACAGGGCCGGTAACGGTAACGGTAGTAGTGGTAGTGGCAGCAGTGCCGGGGGCGGAGCTGCCCTGTCGGCCGTGTCGTCTGCTCCCTGTCCACCCTCCGGCTCCAATTCCTGGGTTTCCCCGTCCCTGTGGTCGGGCGGCTCCATTGCTAGTGGCGGCAGCATCAGCAGCACGAGCAGTGTTGAGGTGAGGGACGGTCGGGGTTCTTGGGAGGATGGGGAAAAGAAGGGGGTTGAGGGGGTCGAACGGTGGGTTGTCGTTGAACAAGATGGCGACTGTGGCGGCGCTGTTTGATGTTTCAGCTGCTCTTCTTCGCCTCCTTTCAGGCCCCCAAACAGGCCTTTCCTCTGTGTACCCTCTTGTGCACAGTGAGATCTAACGTCTTCTGTCGTCCTTTTGGATCCCCTGGAAACCCACTTTCCACTATACGATACCTACCGCTCCCTGTCTTATGCGCGTATTGCCTTCACAGGACCCTCTTTTTGCCGTCCCGCCATCCACTACCTCCGCTGCCTCGTCGTCGTTGTCGTCGTCGTCCGGCGGCGACGTGGTTGCCGCCAACGGCGGCGGCGGCACGGCCGGCTGCGCCTGCGGTGCTGATCTGCTGCTGGCCCGTCTCCACCTGCCACCCACCATTGTCCGCAACATTATCATGGCGCGAGATATCGTACCTCGTGCCTTTGCATGTGACTACAGCCCCGTAGCCGATATCCTGAAAGGTTGGGGGTCATCGTTTAAGGAGCATTGTTGCCTGAACAGGTGGGTACACGCGACTTTCCGGAATGCGACCTGGTCTGGAATTCGGGGGGGTGGCCACCCCTGGGCCCCCGGTGCTGCTGTTGTCTCCCTTTGCCTCCGAATCACCCCCTGATGGCGCAAAAAAGGAAAAAAGCAGTTGACGGGTTGCGAGGGGGGAGAATGCGAATGCGGTTGATGAGCTTGGCGGGGGTTTGTATCTGAGTGCGATCATATTGGTGTGGCGCTGCCAGGTGTCGTTTGGGTGTCGATACATCATTGTGTGCGTAGAGAGGCTGGAGGCTGGATACCCGGCGTGTGTCGAGTGTAACGGTCCGCAGAGCCGCAGGACGTGTGAGTGTGACCTGACAGCTGGTGGCGCAGGTCGAGTCGCCCGCAGTCCTTACCCCTACATGCTCTCTTGGTTACTGCTTCATATGCGGCGAAGAGCGGAGGACCTATCCCAAACCCCACATCTCAGCGACCCGCCACCCCCGCTGTTTGGTTTTAAAAATACGTCGCATGCACCCCTACATGGCCCTACATTACCACCCTCAGGATGCCCTAGTGCCGCAGCGCATTACGCTTTCATTCTAACCGCACGCAGACATCTCACACACGCCTCCCAGTTCATCCAAACCGCCTCCCGCCCCTCCCCGCCCACTCCCTCCCTTCACCCGTCTGCCAACCGCATCTGCAGGCACGGTCGCAAACATCTGTACTACTTCGTCGGCCGCATGTGCATCCTGCAGCCCGACTCGTGGCACAGCTTCACCGCCAACGACCCCGATCACCCCATGTTGCCCCCCGGGCCCGAGCTGTTCGCACTCACGGATTCGAGACCCCACGCGGCGGAGCCGGCTGCGGCGGCTGCAGCAGTGCCTGCTGCGGCTGCACGACCTGCCGCTCGCAATGTGACTGAAGCCATATGGGAGCTCATGGACTGTCCGCATCCGTTGGAGACCCTGGGGGACCCGGGGGCGTACCTGGCCAGCGGCAGTATCTCCAGATATCACAACCCAGAGAACTACACAAAAGCGCTGGGCCGCATCACTCACTTGAAAAGACGAGCGGAACGAAGACCCGAGCGTAAATTGGCGCGGGTGGCCATGGCGGCGGCTACAAAGGCACCAGAGGCGAAGGTGGAGGTGGGGTCCGTCCCGTGGGACAGTAGCGATGGGTTGGACCAGGACTTGCATGTCGTGGCACCGGCCTTGTTGACGGAGGACGTTCATGCGTGTCGCTGAGGGAGAGCTGGTGGGCGAGGGAAGGGTACACGAACATTGATTTTAGTGTGGACTGAAATTTGACTAGTTGGCTGGGCCAGAGGCGGTTACTTGGCTGGGTTGGTTGACGGTTGAGTTGGTTGGGAGGGGCGTCCAGCTGCCGGAAGACCCTTAGCTTCGCCGCCTTAGTTTTGGCAGAGGATCCGAAACCGATTTGGAGATGGTTGCTTAGTTGCATAGTTTCTAGTTTTACGGGTTGGTTAGTTGGTTGGTGGCTTGTTAGATTTTATCTCTTCTGTCGCGTTTACATGCCGGCAGTCGTTGATCATGTTTTTTGGCTTTCATTGTCTTTCAGTGTGTTGATGACGGCAGTATGTATGTTGTTACAGGGTGGTTAACTTCGCCAGCGGCCCCCTTTCCCGGGGCAGTCCCTGCTCTCCCCTGCTAGAGGGGCACCCTAATCCGTCACCCCATCCGACTTCAGAATGTATTCGTTGGGTTCGGCAACTCACCACCAGCATCCAACCAAATCTAGCGGATCAACGGCGCATCAACTTAGTTCCTGGTCAGCTCGCAAGTTGATGTTATCACGTCCTACACCGTCCATATGATGGGGGGCCACCTCCCATTTCATCACTCCTCAAACACCCGAGGAGCTGGCAGGCGGATTTGAACCCGGGTCGACTGGATCGACTGGGAGCAGAAGTCAGGCCTTATGTCAGTATGTATGTGCATGGAACCGCTAATGGTTGTAGCATAGTGCAGCTCGACTGCTGCTGTTGGATTTCCTCTCAGCTCCTGTTTTTTGATCGGCTAAACGAGACGCTGAAAGGCAAGACACTTGAAAAGGCCTCAGCGGTTGGTAGTGGTAATAGTGTTCGAATGGGATGATGAAGGGTCTTTAATTGTTTTTGCGAAATTTCTAACCCATTTAGGGGCAACTTTTTGTGCTGACTTCTCACTGCCCTCTGTCCCTCCGCTTAAAACGAAGCAAAAGGTCCCAAAGGATCCAAACGTCTTCCGACGCGTGCAACATGCGGGGAGGTGAAGGCGATGTAGTAAGGCAGGAGAAGTTGTGAGGGTCGTGGACGAAGGGGCTTTGGTCGCAGGGGCGTTGGGCTCGCGCCAAGGGCCCGTGAGCCGGCATATGAACACTTCCGTACTATTCCGTACTTCGTACGACTTTTTCTACAGAAGTCTAAGCTCCATCGCATGTACAACAGTGGTGGCAGTGGGTGTTTTGACATTTTGCCATAGGCTTTTTGGCCAGAGGCTTTGCATGCCCCTCTCTCATGTACACATTTTTAGGCAGGCGCATGTATGTATGTATCTAAGCATGAATGTACACGTGAACGAGTTGTTGGAAGGCGCCTTGGCAGGCTAGGCTAGGATGCGCGTTCGGGGGCATGGGGTGCAGCGAGACCGTGCAGGGGGTTATGCAGTCTGGCGCACGTGCCGACTTCCTTTCTTTCTCGTGCGGCATTTGCCTTTTTCTTTCCACGATGTAGGCAGGACGGGGGAGCATGGGAGGGAGGCAGTCAAAGACGTAGACAGGCAGGGTAGTCCGGAGGGATGAGAGGACGGGGGGCTAGACAGGCAGGGCGCACAAGGCGATGTAAGCGTCAGCCTTGTACTTTTTCCTTTTCCATCTAGTCCAGACTCAGATGCCGGGGCTGTTCGTGAAGGTGGGATGGGAGCGTGGGACGTGTCCTCCTTAATCGTCTTCCGGCCCGATGATGGAAGTGGCGGGGGAAGAGCTGGAAGGCTGTTCCGGAGGGGCATGACATCCCGACTCGAGAGAACTGCGGGCAGGCCGTTGCCTAGGTCGCTTGGTTGGTTAGGTTGATAGTTGTAAGGAGGGCGGGGCGGGAGATGACGTTCTCACGGTTGCGTGATGACGGCGTGCAGCTGCGGCTCAGGCTTGAGCGACGCACCGGGCCGGCGAAAGAAGAATTCCAATAGGACCTGTGCACAGGTGCGCGGGGTGCATGTTTATGAGGGAGAGAGAGAGGTGTGTGGAGGAGATGAGGAAGGGGGAGGAATTGCAAGAGCTATTTGGAAAGGCATGCTGCTGCAGCAGCAGTAGCAGTAGTAGCACAGGCCTGTACGGGCTCTCCGTGCAGTCTCAGGTGTCAGGGCAACGACCCTACCCTAACCCCATCACCCCAAGCCGATCCCATCCCGAAGCGGGAACCGATGGAGCCCTCGGCGGGGGCTTTCACGCGGGTAGTCGTACCCCTGTGCCATCGTACGGCGGCAGACGCCGGGGCCGCAGGTCTCAGTAACCGTAGGCCCATTGTTGCGGGGGCCCAGGCATGTTTTGTTCGTTTGACATGTCTGCACGGCTGTAAGGCTTAGTGGCTGCTGCAGTGGCGGGAAAGGCGGCGGTTCCTATGGAGCGCCTTACCGGGGAGGCCTCTGGGCTTTAGAAGGAAGGGTGTGGGGTGAGGGGCTGCAGCAGGGATGGCAGCAAGAGGCTTCGAAACTGTTAGCGGTGGTGGCATGTGAGGGACTGAAGGGCGGCGTGCTTGCCATGTAAATGTGAGAGGCAGTGATAGCAGCTGTGCAGCAGAACACTGGGCTAGGAGCTGATTGCAAGGAATAGTCACTTCACGGGCGAGATGCGTTATGTGTGTGTGTGAGAGAGAGAGAATGTATGCCTGCGGTTTGTTGTATGCTCAAGTTTTTTCCCGGGCCTTTTGCGAGGGTACGCCTCGTGTACAATTAATCCGCGCAAAGTAAGGTGTATTGGAATTGCATGTACGCCTGCATATGTACATATCTAGCTCTTATGAGCATATGTTCTGGAAGGGCCTCAATCAGCGGATTGACTAACCGCTGCTGCCAACGGTCCCTTTGCTGCGGCCACCTCTGCCATCAACAACCAACCGGCAACGGTCATCGAGCCGCAGAGCATACGTGGGTAACGTGGCCGTAGCATCTCTTTTTGTTTTCTATCTATCTACCTGACCGTTTATCTCTTTCGCTGCCCTATCTATCCACTTGCCAGTATCAATTCCTTCTGCACTGTCACGCCCGCGAAAGGCCACCCATCGCAAGTCGAATGCTATGATTTGCTGCTCTTTTGCTTGTTTGTCACGAAGGAGAGGCGTTCCCCCGTTGTAACACAGCACATGTAGCACCGAGTACGGCGCAATGTTTATTCCTAATGGGTTTTTCGGAGGGGAGAGTGTTTGCTGAGCCGCACACCGCACCGTTGCCAGCAACGCGGCCTCACATTCGGCGGCGGATGCATTGTTTTGTTGCGGCGACGAAGCGGATGCTGATGTGCATAACGTACAGGGTTCAACAACCAACAGAATCCAGGAGCTGCATGCATGTTGATTGATTTAAGTTACGCCGGTGGTTACATAACAGCTGTACAGGCTCGTAGTCTGGAGCTGAAAGCGAATGGTTGGTCCTGGAGCTGCGAAATGCCTGTCCGTGAACCGGCGGAGCAGGGACAGGAAGGCACGAGTAATCTGTGAATGTTCTTGCGTGAGGAAGAGCTAGGCGGTGTAGGTTTTTCTTTCTTTTTGTGGGTGCGTGGGATGGTTAGTGTTTTCATAGGATCTAGAGGCCGCATCCTCATGAGAGAAGAGGACCCAAAGTGTCTCGTGTACAATCCTGATTGGGCTGTATGGAGTACGATGATAAGGTCTTGCTGGTTTCGGCGCCTGCGGTTCGGCGGCTGTTGTGGCACCTGGTTTCGGCGCCGTGTATTGTCGCGCGCCGAAGTTGCTTTTGATGAGGTAGGTGTAGGAAATGTTCCTATTTTTTCCTGAGGTTGGCATGAATCACACCGTTTGTTCTGTGAAGTCGAAGTCATGCGTTTTTTGTTCGTTGGTGTTGTGAATTAAGCTTAGGCGTGGTCCTCGTGACCTGGCTACCATGAACAAGTGCAGCTAGTGTGTGTGAACTTTTTTTCCTAAAAATGCGTGCATACGTTCGATGTGCACACTGCTACTGTGTCCATGAGGCTCCGGAAAAACTATTTTAAAGTTGGTCGTAATAAGTTGGAACTTTAGTTGTGTATCGCGGCAACCCGTGTTCAGGCGATTGTGTACGCTTTGCATGTTTTAAAGGCTCTAGTTTCCCCTGATTGAGAAATTACACAACTGTAACCCGGTAGAAATTTCAATCTTAAAAAGTATTCTTAATTTTTTCTGGGTAGACAATTATTCCTCAAGATTACGAAACGGGTTTACAACTAGGTAACGCTGTCATTCCTATACCGCAAACAATATCATGAACAGCTCCTGAATACTGGTAATACACAAAATCAATTTCCTAACTGTGCGATTGATTCACTAAAGATTTGGGTTATCTTTCCTTTAGTAGATAGGAATATTTTTAAGGGTTTATAAGCCGTTCGTGCTTGTAATCCTCACGCTAATTTCTTCTTTAATTGCCACTCTTTTATTCAGATCGTCAGGAAACATTCAAGGTCATCATCAACAAAACATCCGTAATATAGGTCAAGAGAAAGCAACATAGCGTTAATTCCATTTTGGGGGGCAGCTTACTACCAACGTCCATGCGATGATCTGCTTGCATATCCACACCCCTTCGTCTCTTCTTCGTCTCCTCGAACCCCTTCACCATCCTCCTCTCATCCTTACCCAAGTATGGACATACATAGACAAGATATACATTCAACACCAACAGCACAAATCACAAAAGTTGGTATTTGCGTCGATATGAACGAACGTCCAAAACGTTGTTATCCATTCGTTGCATCATTGTATCGTCCATCCACCCTAACGAACATCATATCTCATGACGCCATCTCATTCCCTTGTTAAAGGAAAGCCATCCTCATGAAAAATCGAGAAACAACACGTCGGGTGTGAATATCCACATTCATCTTCATCATCTTTACATGCACTTGAATATTCCGGGAGTCAGGGTACTGCAAAAGCGCGCATGTGTGCATGTAACAGTGTGACCTGTAACCCGTTCACCGGGAGGCGGCAACCGCCAAAGCAGGAAACCTGATAACGTGCTGTTGGTGTGATCAA